CTATTCTAGAACATTCCAGACCTGATCACATGTCCCTACATCACGACCACAAGGTCACATGCCATCACGTGCCTACCACATGACTAGTCACGTGCCTATCCCTCTATCCATCCCACATCTCCATCGTCGAAGTGGCACCTGGGGCCACAATGCCTGCAAGGCGCGTACACTCCTTAGAAACGCCGAGAAATAAAGAGTTAGGTTTAGCCCGAAGGCCGTTTCACTTGCCATATGCTCCTGACCAGTCGGAAAAGCAGGAAGATGACCTATGTGAATGTTTCGGACTCGTCCTCAGAGGTTTCTCCTTAGTATGAGCTTTCCGAAAGCTGAGGTTTGCCCGAGCAATTGACGACAGAGTCCACAAGACATGCACAGACTAGTTTTAGGTGATCATAGGGCGTATAAAATGTTATAGTAGTTACCGACGAGCCGCCAGAATATACCGACGAGTCTCCAGAATACACCAACAAGCTTCCAGAAAGTACCGATGAGCCTCCAGAACGCATCAATGAGCCTCCAGAAGGTACAGAAAGCACCCAGGTCCTGATCGAGTCGGAAAGCATAAGGCCACCGCCACATCAGACTGGGTTGCATTTGATTAGATTAGATTATCCTAAAGTCCTGCCTCTCCAGGGTCGTGCGACTGTCGCGGGACAGTCCCGAGACCGCAGACCGAGACCCCAAAGGCTGTCGCCCGACCGGCACAACACTGGTTGTGGCTCTCTCAATGTTTCCACCCTCGCTCTCAAATCTCAACACATATACGTGGGTACATGCAAGAGGAGACTCCATTTATATCGAACCAACACATAGTATATCATATCATCTGATGGTACGGAGCTATAGGATTAACTCTCTATATGCTACAACGACGAACGGCGCCACTAAAGTACGAAGAAACACAACAACAGCAAGTTTAGTAGTAGTCATCAAACACGGTACAAATATAAACGGGCAAAGGATATGAAAGCGTATACGGCAGGCAATGAGCGCACTCTCCGGGGTCTCAATCTCCTGAGGCGTAATCAATAATTGTTACGATAGGATAGAATAGGGTGGGAAGGGGTGGGATAGGCTGAACTGGGTGAACTGGGTGAGATGAGGTGAGATCTACGGTCTATAAAAATAACGAGGTTGCGTGAATTCAATCTTCATGGGGGAAACGGGTCAGGATAGTGGAAGAGGATGCAAGGGTAGATAAATAGAAGGAAGAAAAAAAACAAGAATAAATCATTAATCAAGGGACTGCCTATCCCTCGCTGCTCGTGGCAGATACGTATAAATCGCATGTATCGCATTCTGTACCCCGTCCTCCTACATAAAATAACGTCCATCCACCCAGTCAGGCAAGGCACCAAAAAAATAAAGGAAAGATGTGGAGTTGAGGAACGCACCTCTCGTATCCTCTCCCCGACCCTCGCAGCCTTCTCCTTCATAACCCGATCCGTCGTCGCCTTCAGCAAAGCATCCGAGAGCTCGCCCACACGAAGGCTGGACACCTTCAAGCCCGCACCGAGCTTGTGGACTCTCGATGCCCAGAAGAACTGGTCGCCGAACCATGGTCTGATCAGAGTCGGAATCCCAGCTATCATAGATATAGAGCGTAAGCAAGTGTCCATCGTCATAAAGGAGTGGAAAAACGAACCTCTCAAGCTCGCTCCCGTCGTACCCGCTCCGCCATGGTGCAACGCCGCATCGATCTGCGGGAATAACCAACTACACAAAGAACGCGATGAGCACAGTAACAATAACCGGAGAAATGAAGAACAAGAACTCACTCATGCGGAATCTTATCCACCGAAAAACACTCCTCCGGGAAAACGACCTCCTCTTCCTCCCCATCTCCCTTCTTACTAGCATCCACCATCCTCGCCGACCAGCCCTTACTCACAATCGCCCTAACCCCGCTCCTCACCACCGCCTTAATAATATTCCGCGTCATCACCCTCGGATTCGGCACCACGATGCTCCCAAACCCGATATACACGATCTTCTTCCCGTCCTCCCTCGCCTCGCGCATCCAGCCCAACAGCTCCTCGCTCGGCGCCCAGTCGTGGTCCGGGTTGTCGAGGAACCAGTAGCCGGAGATGGACGTCGCGTCGCCCCAGTCGAGCGGCTTGGGCACGACGGAGGACGAGAAGTTGTAGACGAAGGGGATTTTGGATTGCGCGAGGTGGCCCATGTCGGTGGAGGCGATTTGGAGCGTGTTGCGGCGCCAGCGGTTGATTTGGGAGGAGGTGGCGGTCCAGAGGACGTTGTCGAAGAGGACGTAGGAGGTTGCGTTGAATGCGGGGGATTCGACGGGAGGACTGAGGAAGGGGTGGGGAAATTGTCGCGTCCTGAAGAAAGGGTGACAAGTCAGCGGTCTTGTTCACGATGAGAGAAAAGGAGAACGTACTTCGTCCAAGGCATAGTGAACGTCCGGAAATACGGGATATCTATCGCAGAGCCCATCAGCATCAGCATCACTCGACCAAACCAAAGGTAACAGAAACGGCAGATCACTCACGCAACGCCTCCGCAATATGCACCCCCGCCATCGCCGACGGACTCTCAAGCAACACATCCGCATCCTTACAGCACTCCCACGCATCCACCAACAGCTCGTCCAACCACGTCCTAAAATTCCCAATACTCTCCTTAAAAAACTGCGGACTGAACATCTTATTCTCCACGCTGAGCTTCATCAGCGCCCCCGGGTCGCCCCCCGCCGTCCGATGGGCCACCCCAAACTTCTCGACCCACTCTTTGTACTCCTCGTGCGTCACGATCGTCACCCGGTGGCCTTCCTTTTGGAGACCGAGTGCGAGGGCGATGTAGGGCTGGACGTCGCCACGGGAGCCGATGGTGAGGCAGACGAAGTGGAGGGAGGGCATTTTGAGGAGCGTGCGGGAGGGGACGTTTATTGTCTTTGGGAGGAATGAACGCAGGACGTGGGGCATGTTTGATCGGTGGGATTTAGTTCTGCCGAGCGGGGCGAGGATGGAGGTCGTGCTACGCTTGACGGGTCGATGGCCTGGAGTGACGAGACCGGTGTCGTCGGAGTGTGTGTGGGCGTGTACGGGGGTGCTTAACGAGCTCGTCGTCGTCGAAGGGAACGGTTCGACATTGGTGGTGGCGGTGGCGAGTTCGACGCCACTGCTAGCACGACTGAGATTCGCATCGGAGCCCCTCGACGGTGGTCTCGAAGTGGACGGACTCCTGAACGCCTGCTTCTTCTCCTCTCTCAGACCAAACTCCTCACTCGGCGCCATAACCGCCGGCGAACTCGTCCTTGCCAACCCCGTCTCCAGAGGCAATAGCAGCTCTGCCTGCTCTACAACTCTCCCCTCTCTCGCCTTGACTAGCTCCCCCACCCTCTTCAACGCCTCGTCCCTGACCGCCTCACTCTGGAACCAAAATCGCACATCGGATTGGCCCGAGAGCTCCAACGTGAGTCCGTAACTGAACATATGTGCGTTCCTGTACACTTTCGCGGTGTTTATGGTGCGCAGTGGGAGACGGTATCGGACGTCGTTGGAGAGGGTGAAGGATTTGGACCAGAAGCCGACGCAGTCTGGCGTTATGACGAAGTAGCCGAAATAACAGCCCAGACGACGATGGACGTGTGCCTTCTGAACTATAAGGAAGAAACACCACGAATCAGCTCGACTTGTCAAAGGAGCACACAGAGCAACAAAAGAAACCAAAAAACATACCCCACATCTCCTTCTTCGGATCCAAAGCCAACGCCCCCGCCACCCCTCTCTCCACATCACTCAACATCTCCACAAACTCACTCTGTTCCGCCTTCGCCTCATAGTAACTCCCCGGCTCATAATCCACATACACCCTCGTCCCCGCCCATCTTTCCTCGTCCTCCAGCCCCGCAGCGATGCGCTCGCGGGCCTTGCGGACTAGTTCGCTCACCAAAGCCCATTTCGGGTCGTTCCGGATGACGGTGAGGTTGAGCGTTTGATGGACCGGGGCGGGCTCGTACATCGTTCCGTTCAGGGGATCGAGGGAGCTGGCGGACTGGGGGGAATCGAATAAAGGTCTAGAGTTTGATGCGGAGGAAGGAGGATCGTCGGCGCTGGGGAGTTCGCTCGGAGGCGTCCTTGGACTACCACTCTTCGACGACCTCAAGGGCGGGAGACTAGGCAACGTGAACTCGAACTTTCGGAATGGGGACTTGACGTTGGCGTTGGTGGGAAGAGTTTGTGCAGATGCAGTGGCCGTCTGTGTTTGTGCATCGTCTGGTGTCGATGTGGCACCAGGTGGACGCACATGCTCGAGCTCGTCCGACGGAAGTTCAGTACCTTGCGTCCTCGGACTCCTGAGCGAGAAATCGAATTTCATGAAAGACGATCTCTTATTGATAGCCGGAGTCGTCTGCGCACTCGTCGGTGTCGTCGTCGGTAGCTCCGCCTGTGCTTCAGTCGCTGTAGTTGTAGGTGCAGAGTCCATCGGTGGCGCCTGTGGTGCCACAGGGGTCAACTCCTCGGCTTCGGTACCGAGCTCAGCCTCCTCCCTCCTCGGACTCCTCAACCCAAAATCGAACTCGAACTTCCCAAAAGGCGACCGCACAGGTGAGAACGAAGTCCGTCTGAACCCATTCTCAGGCAGGAAAGACGCCCGTGTCCTTCTTGCAGCTGTAGTCGTAGGCGCCCTCTCCTCGGGCGGAACGTCGTCCACGCCTACACGTCGCCGAGTCCTCTTCCGCACGCCTTGAGTTGAGGGCGCGCAGAATTTATCCCATTTTTTGAGGGCGGATTTGAGGCTCGTTGGGGGAGGAAGGGAAGGCGGCATGGGGGTTGCTTCGACGTCTATCTCTGCCTCTTTGTCCCCGTTCCCATCCCCTGCGGCTTTCGTCCCTTCTTCCACTTCTTCTACGTCAACCTCCTCGTCAGTCTCAGCCTCATCCGTCTCCCCGCTCCTCATCACATCGACCCGATCCCTCCTCCTCTGATGTTGAACCTCGTCCACCTCTGCACCTCCAACCTCAAGTTCGACCGAACTAGGCGCAGTATCCGTATCGACGAACACCTCCGTTCCACTTGCAAGTTCTTCGCTATCGGCGGACTCGGACGGGAACATCGACGACGCCGCCGAACTGTTCGCCCCGCTACCCGTATTCCCCGATTGCTCAACCGTGGATAGACCTGATGGTGTTGGTGCTGCAGATGTAGAAGACCTCGCACTCGAAGAAGCGGTAGAGAACCCGATCCTGTATACCGTCGCGAACGTCAAACAATCCTCGGAAGACATGGACTCGATGCGGTGCAGGGGGATGTTTATCCTTATTCCGTTCGTGTCTGCGTCTTCGTCTGTGGTTGATGAGTCGTGTACGTTGTGTGGTTTGTGGGAGGGACGGAGGGCGTTGCGGGCGTTACGGCGGTAGAGATATATAGCACCTAGTGGATAGAGAGAGTTGTGAGGTGTAAGTAACGGTGTTGTAGCGGACGGGAAGAGTAAATTAAAATTGTGTGAGATAGTGAACGTTTCGGTGTGATGAACATATGTAGGCCCAACGAACACAAGACACAGAGTAACGAATCAAGCGCAGAGAAAAGAAAGAAAAACGCACCCTCTATCTCCCTCCTCCAATCCCTCGCCGACTCCTCCGTATCGAACTCGATGACGCCTTCCCTAAAGCCCACCGCCGCGTCGAACATGATATGTATCACCTTTTCGTGCTTCGGGTCCTGCGGCATCACTTGTACGATGGACGACACTACACACACATCCACCGTTAGCTTCCTCTCACGTGCATGTTTACGGGCGAGGTGTGAAGGACAGAAAATCGGAGAGGAAACAGAGAAAAGAAAGCAACGCACACAAAATACTCCGAATAGGCTTAATCCGATCCTCCTCCCTACTACTCGGAAACGAACTCAACATATCATGGCTCAATTCCAACCATAATCTCCGCTTGCGCCTCCAGCCTTTACGGTGGATGAGGACGGGCCCGGCTTTTATGATTTGGGAGGAAAGGTTGTCGGGCGAGGAGGAGAGGAGGGAGGCGTGGAAGGTGAGGCGGTGGGTTGTTAGGTGGGCTACGCCCTGTGTGTTGCGAGGCGTGGAGGGAAAGGGAGGGAGAGGGAGGGAGGAAGAGGGAGGGAGGGAGGGAAGTCATGGGACGGACGGTACGGTACGGCGATCACGAGAATAGTTCGAAGTTTCGAAGTCAGTCACAAGCCCACACACAAAAAACAAACATAGCAAACACGTCAGTCCAACTTTAGCAACATCCCAAGCGGAATAAATAATAAGAAACGCACGAGTACAACGACATCCCTAACCAACGCCGCATCCGTCTCCAACACAAGCTTCTCCTCGCCCTCCTCCGCCAACGGTCCAAACTCCTCCACCAACAACCTTACCACCTCCTCCGGCGTCAACTTCTCTTCACCATCCGCGCTCGCTGCAGCAGCGACCGCGAAAGCCTCGTCGATCCGCTCCGGCGGGGGAACTCTACCGTCTTGACCTTCCGCGCGCTCCTTCTTCTCCTTCCCCTTCCCCTGAGTCTCGCCATGGGCATCCTCCTCTGAGACCTCGCTCGAAGAAAGCACGTCGTCTGCTTCATCTGATTCGGGCTCGGGCTCGAGTATCCCATCAGCTTGTGACCAGTTGTTGACTGAGATTTGGGCGATGCGGCCGGAGAGGGCGCGTTCGTGGGGTGTCAGATCTCTACCCACTAGGTCCGCGAAACCACGGAGTGAACCTGTCGTAGCCCTTCCTGTCCCTTCACCACCCTCCTTCGTAGTACCGTCGTTAGCCCGAGAACCATCAGAGGGACCTGCATCCTCCCTAATCCCCTCAAGCTTCGTGTTATGTTTATAACAATCCGGCGAAGAATCGATGATCTGCTCGTAGAGCGCTGCTGCATTGAAGATACTCGACAGCCCGGGCTCGTCGAGATGCACGCCTGAGGTACGCACGAGTTCTTCGCCTAGGGCGTGTTTCCCTTGCCTGCCGTGGGACGTCGATGGGGGTGCGGAATCAGATTCATGGAGTGCGAGGGGGTTGCGCTTGGAATTTGTGTCTGTGCGTGAGACGGCGGATAATGCCCAGGAGAGCATTATGGCTCGAGTTCTTGTTGGTTATAGCTATACCTATAGCTCAGCCTTCAGGAGTAGATAGACGATGGGGATATGTGTGTTGGTCTAGGATAAGATGCTGTGGTGGTGGTCGTGCGCAAACCGATGCTAAGAGTTGTCGTCTGTGGATAATGGAGTCGGTTGGACAGACAGACAGGAGGTGGTGAGGGGGTGCGTGCGCGGAAGAGCGGCATCGTCTTAGTCTAATACATCCTTGTCTGACTTCCTGACTCGCCGTAGGGCGACGCAATTGCAACGACAAGTCGGGGCGCTGACACGCCTCTCGTCAACAAGCGTCCATCAATTGATCGCCCTTGTCCTCCTGCCCAATAAATTTCTCTCGGTCAATCTACCTGCTCTGATACTGGATTTACTCAACGAACAAAACAAACCACACGAAAAGAAAACAGACAAACATATCGTGCTTACCCAGCATCAATATTTTATCTTTGGTCTCAGTTGGAGGGGTTGCGGGCCTCGGGTGTCGGATTTGCGAGTGTAGTGATGTGTCATACACGCTGACGTATGGCCCCTGTCCCGCGTACTCCGGCACCGGGACATTGTCATGCATTTTTTGGGCTTCACATCCGACCTCGCCGCTTCAAGCAAGCTTCGATAGTCTCCCACAGGCAGACCTTGGTGTTGAAGATAGGGCGTTCAACGTGTCAAGAGCTTCGAGGGAAGTTGGATGTTTGGTGGGACACTCGAACTTGCTCCCCATGGCCAGCTGCAGCGAAATTTTTCGGAAATGACTGTAAGCAACTACGACTCATCCAAGTCCAGTCTCTCCGCCTTGCTTGCTTGCTCAACCCCGTATTCCAGTTCATTCTTTCGTGCGGCGTCTTCACCTATAACGTCGAGTACTTCCTAGTCGAGCCTTTAGAACAGACGAAAACAAGTCACTTATCGGGTGGTACGCCTGTAATCCTTTTCTTTCTTTCTTTCTTGGCTGGCAAACCAAAAATATCCCTGCCAAAATTTCTTGTAGGCCTTTGCGATGTACTCTAGGGACATCGTGTGTTTTGCACTGGACATGCTCAAATCATGGTTCAACGGATTATGGTGTACATCGGCGGCTCAAAAGAGCGGTCCAGATCAGTCTTACGCAGTTTATCGCTTTCTTCATCTGCGCAGACGCCTATAATCGAAGTGAAGCTGCTACCACGGTAAGGTAAGGTACCACGGAGTCCGAGTCGTACCCCGCCCGCAAGGTACACTCGATACTATCACGTACTTATGGCAGTATACCCTTGACTGTGTCATGAGCGACAGCATCATGATATATCTATCAGCCATGCAGTGTAGCAGGCCTTGTATCTGGCAAGGAAGTAAATATATGCGTGATCGACCGCTGGACAGGCAGCACGCCGCTCTGTCCCCACAATGGAAAGCACCACCGATGGATCGAGACGCTATCCCTGTCTGTAGAGTACTCAATGGGAGTGGATCTGGGTACGCTTTTCAAGGTTCTTTTCCGGCCAATGTTTGACAAATGGACGTTGACCCATTCCATCCGCTGGTATTTTGTCCTTGAGTTTACTGAATGTCACATTTCCCTCATCAAAAACAGTGACAATGGTTGTGAATTACGCACCATCAAACGACGAGGAAGCCTCGTGTAATTCTGCAAACTATCCTAAGCTGTTGACACTCACTTTTCGATGGAGGGACTGTGGAAAGTACGCCACACCGTTCTTCGAACCTTTTCTCCAGTCTTTGTGATTCCTAATGTGTTCAACGTTGAGTGCTCTACATGTCACGATGGCTGCGCTTCGTGCATGGTTCGACGAGTTGTTCAATGAATCGGAGAACAGGCTCAGGCGTGGTCGATCGGTGCTCCTGCCAGTCAATCGTGTGGACCATTTATGCCGATCCGGGTCTCAACCAGCGCTGTGCTCATTCTTCTTTTCAGCCAGAGCTCCGACACGGCCGGGGGTTAATGTGAAAGGTCTACGACTGTGACACAATTCTAAGAACACATGTTTGCTCGAACATCTAATCTTAGACTGAGATACGTACATTGTACGCAGTAGAGCATTGAGGATGTAGACTAATTCAATCTCGCTAAATCTGCTTGACCAGTGACATAATGAGATCGTTCGTTAGATAGGGCGATAGAAAGTACAAGACAGTGCTAAAACTGACCACTTGTTCGAGTTTTTCTTTTTTTGGAGGAACTCGTGAGCTCCATCATCCATCCTTCTTACCACTCTTTCCTCGCTTGACTAAATATATCCCTTTCCCTTTGAGCGAGCCAGAGATCCAAAAGTACAAAGTGCGTCACAGGCATTTGCCTGCCTTTCAATCAAGGTCGTATTTTGAAAAGCGAAAAACTTTTTTCACAGCAGTGTGAGCTACAAGAGCAGAGGCCTATAGGGCGGTACGATTCCACCTTTTTTTTCCCTCTCAGATATGTGCAATGTATTTATGTGTGGAGTTTGCATGGCCTTATTTTGTTTTGTATAGCCATGCTGGCGCATGGCTTGGGGACGATTCCCATTAGGGCCATCTGCAAGTAGTTACCTCTGCTTTGTGCCAATTCAAATGCAACAGTATTGGCAGTCATTAGATGCCTATTGTTTAAGGCTTACTGATGTTTCCATTCCAATTGGACTAGGATACCATAACAGTAATTCCCCACTAGAATAATGTGATAACTACGTTACTATAAACCAGCATATTGAGTTCCTGGCCTTTATGCACGGTACGTTGTAGCGCGCAGTAGCCGGCCGATGGAGCTGGGTTCGAATGTTTGCGGACTTTACCGCGCTGTGGAAATGTCACACGTGTCAAATATGCGTCTACTCCAAAGACCACCGGTAGGCACATAGTCCGACAGGAATATCATACTGTGTATGTATCCATCTATATTTATATTATGTCTATTCTGATACATACTATCCAACCTGAACGTATATCTGTTTCCGACTCCAAGTGGCACGCATCTGGGGTATGTGTACTTGTCATTTGCCACGTAACCGTTATTCTTATCGTTTGCTCTACAGTACTTGATTCACCTTTATCCTTTGAAAGCGATACAGTGACCATCATCGTCGATAGGCCAAGGTCTTTCCACTTTATATGATGATCAATTGTACTATTACTGATGTTCTAAACTTATAGACCAATGTCATTCGTGAGAGACATATCAGATTCTATAGATGGCCTATTGGCACACACCCTACCCGTTTGTACTCGAGCGCAGCTGCAAGAGTTAGACCATGCAATTCTGCGGGTCATTGCAGACGTTAGGCAGACTCTGAACGATCGTTGCCCTCTTGCTCACAGCGAGCGCCACATTGCTCTCCGCGCCACACCGAATGAAGTTCTCTCCTACATCTTCCTGCATCTACGAGGCTACCCTGAGGATGAAGACACACCCGACCCGTCCTGGGTCAATGTCCTCCTCGTATGCAGACGATGGCATCGCGTGGCCATTGATACACCGAGCTTGTGGCGAGACTTGAACTTTGGGCGTATGCCCATCGACACGTCCCTACAGTACATTCATCGACATAAATCATTGCCTTTTTTCGTTTGGTCACCAACGTTGGATGCCGTATCGTCTTTGACATCGACCTATCCCTCATTTTCACACCAGTTGTCCCGCCTTGTTATTCAATCACCTCCCGACTTTGGCTGGCTCTCACCCGTTAACTTGCCAAATTTGGAGGAGCTATGGGTGTCTTCCTACACGGGTGATGTTTCTGAAGATCGTGCATCCACGTCACTATCCGATTTTGGTGTGCTCCGCCTTATCAACGTCACAGGCCTTAAGCCTGCTTGGAGCATTAAACCATTTCCACGCTCCGTACAGGAACTGTCCCTGGATGTCACCGACGTACCATGGCGCCCCTCTTCCTCACAGTTACACGATTGCTTAGAGGATCTCTGCAATCTTCGATCATTCACCCTTGTGGGATACGGTTTAATCCATTCTCCAAACGTCGATAGACTCATTCTCTCCGCCATCGAATACATCTATGTCACGCTACCATACGCCGATTTGGATGACCTCGTTCGCTTTATTCCTATTCAAAACTCTCGCCCTTACTCGCTCTTCCTCCGCGGACCCCGAATCCAAGTCCACGCGGACGACCCAGGACTTCATTCACTATTTCATGCTCACCTCCGTCCAGTCGTATTCCCAAGATCTTTACCGTACACCTCCATCCACATATCCAAGCATGGAGACCTCCGATCTTTCATACTCCGTGATGCGGACGAGCTCGAACTCTCTTTACCCATATCCCGTACTAGCTGGAACATCAATCCACTTCTTGATTTAGTTGGAGTTGTGGATATCAAGCACGTATGCATCGAAGAGGATCGGGGACTCTCTGTTTCCACTCGTCCACTCGCTCTCCACGACATCGTCCCTTTCCTTCCAAACGCGACAAGCCTGACCATACAGAGACAGGTTGGTGTGGAAGCCAGGGCAATATTAGTTGGGCTTGGGCATCCGGATGGTCAGGACCTGTTACCCTCAGCCGAAACATATAGGCTCAAATGGCCTTGCCTCAATGCTATAACCCTGGAAGATATTGGCTACCCTGGAATACGTGGACGACCGGCTCCTGTCATCACGCAGCTCCGCCAATTCCTGATGTCAGTCCGTACGGGGGCTCCTCTTTTCCAGAAGTTGAAGATCGTTAGGTGCTCGATAGGAGAGGAGGATGTACACGGGTGGAGGGAGTTCATCCCCGAGGTAGAGATCGTTCAAGGAGGTGAGTTCTCGGACATACACTACACTATTTGTTGCACGATGTAACACAATTTCATGTTTCTGAATATGTAGACCCAATGGAATCGTATCAGGAGTGAACCTGCTCAATGTTGGTATATTTGATAGCATTAAATCAAGTCTGTCCTTGCCCAAACGCCAAGTGCCCTGTCCAGCCCAAAAGGAATAGGAGTTGGACGAGGATTGTAGCCAATGCGCTTTATGTTCGATGTAGCTTGTATTCTCTGTCCTCTATTATGAAATATTAGGCATGACTCTGACAATATGGTGCATGATCTGCATATGAGAACTTGAGGCGGACTCGTACAGTGGGAGTGTGAAATAAAGTGGTACTAATTGGGGATACCTTAATGCTCCAGGTGGAAGATTTGATGATGAAAACATCCTGTGACTGCGCCGGCCAACGGAGATACAAATCAGATGTAACGGGCGCAACAGCGGAAGAGCCTGAGCTGGAATGGGCACACCATGGACCGACATCTTACAATATCTGATACATGCACACGTTACCACATCTTACACACGCTGACACCGCAGAGAATTACATCGCATGATGGAGAAGGATGGACAGGACCCGCTGTATTGTCCGATTTCAATGGGAATCTTGCCGCAGACGATAAAGTTACGGAGGGTGAGCGGATTGCGACAAAGGCTTGGAGCGCGATGATGAACCATCGAAAAACGAAAACCATATAATCCCACGAGTGCCACATCACAACGTCAAAGTACAATTATCAGCAGAGTCAGTCAATCGAAACCCCGATACTGTCATCTATCATGAGAAACATTGTTAGGTTCATCGATCTGTTGAGAGCGAATGCATGCACTCACCACTGTTAGAGTCATACGTATAATGAACTTCTGGTATAAACTTGGCCCACTGGGACAGCTCGTTCGTTGGGATGCAGCAGTCCACTAATTCTACCCTACGAAATGGAACAATATACGATTTAATGGCCCATAAGCACTGTCCAAGGTGCCTTGCGGCCTGATCTGACCGGTCGTCCAAATGATATGAATACTGTACATCTTCGAATGATATGGTGTGGAGGTCGGGCCACTCGCAAACGTACGGCTTCAAATGAGGAAACAGAAACTTGCCGGCTGCACCTGCCAGGCCAAGCAGAATCAAAGCGGAATCGTGGGCAACCTTGTTGCGTATGGTGAGTTCCGTGGTGTCCGTTAAGTGTCTGACGACTTCCTGTACCATCCGGCGACAAGGAAGAAGTGACTGGGGCTTTCGCCCTTGTTCCACGTAGACGTGGCCAATATTCGATGGGTCGACAATCTCAAACAAGATATTTGGTTCCGGTCCGCATTGAGTACGAGTGGTAACCGAAAGGGAGTGGAGATCTGCATCGATGAATATCAACGTCAGGTCCGCATCGTCTATCATGATGCGAATAGACGTATAGGGGAGTGCTCTGAGGTAGAGGATGGTTCGAAGGTTGGTGTAGAAATCGCGAGGGGGCGCAGCAGTATGAGGGCGTCGACAGAAACGTGGGATGTGTAGTTTGAGAGAATAGGAGTGGGTACGCTGCAAGGGAAGGATACAAAGGATGTTTTTGTGATCTTCATGCGGTACCGTGATCTCTATGCGCTGAAGGAATGGTAGCACGAGTCTATCCACGGTGTGTGAACTAATGATTTGGTCAGAGGCGAACGACAGGGTATGAAGGTGCCGGAGGCTTTCCAGTGACTCAAAGAGCTCGGATACTGTAGGGGAACCACCTATGCCGAGTATGTCCAGATGTATAGTTCTCGACGACAGAGGAAACGCTCTGGTGGACCATGAAGGCAGAACACCCTTTACGTCGATAGATTGGAGATGCTGAAAGTCAGCCAACCAAATGTGAAGGGGTGTTCCATCTGGTTCGATACGAGAACTGGCGACCTCCAGAACCTCGAGATTCGGTAGATTATCAGGATGCAACCAATCCAGGTCATCGGCGGAGTCGATTATGGGTTCGTCAAGAACAAGACGTTGCAGTTGGGAGGTAAATGATGGATGATGATCCGTTAGAGAAGTTAAGGTGTTTAGGGATTGTCCCCAAACGAATAGCGGTAAGGTCTTTCGCCGACGAATGGTCTCGAGCGCGACGTAGTCAGGCATACTGCCCAAAATGATGTCTCGCCACATCCCAGGCATGGTGAGCGCCACACGCCGCCATCTCCTGCAAACGAGAGGCACAGAAAACGTATAGGATATGTCGGGCGGACCTTCACCTTCTGGCTCAGATGGAAGTTGCTCGAAGAACATGGAGAGGATTTCGTCCGGGGTGCTACGTATGGATGTCGGCTGCTTCGAACCTATGCAGTAAACCGGTTCATTTCGGATTTGGCGAACAGATGCGATGGTGCAGCGGAGTCTTCTCTCTATTTCTTCTAGCTGGTCTGTCGTCCAACTGGACATCGTGCATATTCTCGCCAAGTCATCGATACGACCGGACAAAGTACCTAAGTCGATCATAAAGACTGCATCATTGCCATCGTTAGTGTGGTTATGCTAAAACATAGGTGAACGCACCTTTTCCGTGGAAGCGGTTGATATGAAATGAGTGCAAGTTGGCGTTTGTGCAAGGTCGCTGTGTACACTGCGCGTTAGATAGATGAGCAACGACGGATAAAGAACGGAGAGTGTCCTACTTCGTGTCTTTCTGAACAGCGGGGTCTCGCCTTCCGTTTTGGCTCGACGTCATGTATATATCAAGGGGAAGATGCTCAAGGTCGACATGTATTAATCACGGGTCAAACTAATGGGAGCGGAGCCCGCATAGGAATGACGCGGCCACAGCATGAGTCGGCCCATTCACGCGGCCGCAGGAAGCAACTAGACGACCGAACCGGTGCAGCTGTGATCCGACGACTTCTTGGAATGTTCCGAATCTTTCCGAATGGTTTCCGTGTGGCGGACAGTTTGATTTCGCCACATCGCACAGTGAATTCAACAATCTCAATATAGAAGACAACGAATCATGTATGTACTTATAAAGCAAGACAAAGCAACGAAAGCACATCGGGTACGAAAAAAAAAGACGAGTCATAGCCAAACGGTATATCGTATACCGTTGAGTTTTTGGATAGAGGGGCTATAGACAAATTTCGGGCATGAGAACGTGTACGCTGTTATTATAAGTAATGGCACTCACTTCACAAGTCGTACGAAAGCATCCTCATCAAGTGAGGGTGGGAAAGGTCTACCGCCGGCGAGAATATTTCCTTTTCATCGTCCGCGACCCACCGCCCCTTTCTGGCTGGACTGATACTAGTACAAAACGTCTCCATCGCGACACCAACCGATCCAATCCAGCTTTCCGGGTGGTGTGGTGCTTGCGATAGAGTCCAAGTAGGATGACAACCGTGGAATATGACAGTTCCGTGTGATGCTTCCAAAAATGAAGTGCTCAGGAAGCGCAAGATGGTAGGAATATATCTTTCGTGTACGCATATGTGGTACGTATGGAACCGGTGTAGAGGGATGCACCGAAGGAATATATGATGGACCATGTTTCCGGGATCGGTACTGGAGTTCATGTCGAATGAAAAGCTGGCGTCGGGTGAGATGTGTAGGCAGTTATTCAGTATGGTCTTGAAGACGTGAGCGTGTATAGCCGGAGTTCGGATGGACATATACGTGTTCCGATCGGTCTTCAGCACCAGATCGATCGTCGCATGCCATTGAATAGATCCATTGACATTGAGGAAGATGCCGGCGGAAGATATGACGTTGCTGAAGGTGAATGATTGGGCGATGGCCAACGCGTTCGCATCCATTGTCGCAGGGTCTCCCGCACGGTGCTGGAATAGCTCGGTGACGAAGACGTCAAGGGAACAGAGACTGAAGTAACGAGCTATCCTTTTGATTGAAGGCGCCGCACCGTGAAGAGCGACGCTGCGTAGGTTGGAACCAGATATGGGAGCGACTGCGGATGACTGTATGACGTGCACGTCCCACAGCTCCAGCACGGTCAACAGGTGCATGTGTTGAAGAGCCTGATCGAAGTGGACGAGATCTAGGGGGAATGGAAAGTGACCGCCGTGACTCTTGTGAATATGTAGTGTGACGAGGCGAGGCGGAGGGATGAATTGGTGGAAAGGAAAGGAAGAATGGCGAATGCATAGGACGGTAACCGGTAGATTCTGGAGGCGAGCAAGGTCGCGAGTGTGAATGGCCTGAGTGGGAAGTCGACTCATTGGGTCATCCTCATCATCATCATCGTCCACGACATCAACCCCGCTGTTGCTCTGTACTCCATAGGGCGCCCATACCAAGCCGTTCGTCGGCCACCCTCCCGTCATTCCCATGAAATTCGCCATCTCCTCTTTGTCCTCTAAAATACCCCTCGCCCCTATGAATATGTTCTCGAGTTGATTGAAATCGTGGAACTGTAGGCACGTGCTCACAGTAGGCCAGAGCGAAACGTCGACATCGATGTATAGAGTCCGGATGCGGTGAGAAGCTGACTGTAGAAGGGGCCAAAGCAGACCGATGGAATCGGCGTCGTTGACGAGGACGGTGAGTAGGTGCTCTTTAGATCTATCGAGAGCTATCTGGAGGTCGTCGACGTCCATCTGACCGAGTGGGAAAAAGCTTCGCAACTCGGCGATGTCCTTGATGCGCTCGTTCCAGTTGGCACATACGTGGCGTAGTTTGAAAAAATTGTGGAATTTGACGCGCTGGACCGTGCTCCATTGCTCTGGACAGATTGACCACATCGATGAGGCGTCGTTGTACGTGGGTATGATAGAGTGTACGGCCGTGAGTATGATTGCGTCGGTCATTTCGGCGGGCAAAGTGAGTGCCGCTGGGGCGGTTGGTGGACGAGGAGACATGAAGATGACGGTTAATAAGGAGCGGTTTTATGTTCTGGTGAGAAATATGGGTGAGAGTCGCGCTTTGGACGAGAAGAAAAGGGGAGAAGAGTGTGCGAAATAGTCCGGATGGGCTCCGAGGACCAAATATTGAACGTTGTTTGGTGCCGTTACGTTAAGCACTGTAGCCATCTTTGTCTGTGCGCTGACCGTACTCCGTCAGCTCCACATGTCGCGCCTTATGCTGACAGACCGGATTGCTGCAAGTTTGAATGCAAAGGTGAGCAGATAATATTTTGTTTGAGCCAACCACGCAACACGCTGCCGGGACGGTAGTAGACCTGACGGCCAGTATCATCTGGGCTTGTGGTCGTCGCTGACGCACCAACGGTAGGACATAACCGTGACAGCCTAAGGCGTCGTGAACGTAACTCGTAAGATCGAGTTGTTCTTGAAGCGCGATATACAAAGATACCTTGCGGTACGTATTCTTGTCCTACCTCAAAAGATTAGGATGCTACGCGATACGTTGAGGCTCAAATCTTTCAACCATAAGGTAATGCTGATTCTGATGGAGTACGATGCTCGTATCCTACCGTACGGACGATGTAGTGCGCCAGATCCAGAGAAGATCAATGGTGGTGAGTTATGCTATAAGACTGGTCAATACGGACTTGGTGGTCACAATGTCTGACGTACCTTCGTATGAGTGCCCAATAGCGAACTAACTCTGCTTTCAAATTCCGTCTTTACACACTATGCAAAGGTGAGTGCTCCGGAAACGGATTAAACATATGGACATTGACCATTGTTCCTTTACTGCCTCGGGTTCATGCCAAACAGATGAAAGCGTATTACGTCTATTTGTCCGACGATGTATTGCGTCGTATACAACATATGCATGAACATATTACGAACCAAACTCCTCTTGAACAGCGCAAGTTGCAGCATCGTCTCTGAGCTGCAAGGGGATTGACGATCCGATACCGACACATGGGCAGGTTCGCTCTTACTTTTGAAGTCTGTCCAACTTCAGCATAGATGGTGATAGGCGATAGACAATGGGTCAGTCATACGATGACTGTTGACATTTATATGTAGGAGCTCACCTCAACGTTTGAAGCTTAATTTGATAGTAAGCCTCATCTCTCCGACCGTTTCTCAAGGCAGCCCATGATCACGCACTAAGTATTTTGATGATGTGAGCTCATAAGTGTGCTCATTCGTGAATCAGCATACCCAATGTTTGTATGCACATTATACGGACTCACAATGCTAAAGTTATGGAGTGATGTCAACTGACAAGCAACGAGGACCGACGTGTTGAGGATATGGACAAGAGTAGGTCTTCGCGGTTGTAACATTAGGTTGTTTATAGGGTAGACCACCGAGTAGTAAGGTATCGTCTTAGTAGCATAGAGGTGAAGTAGGAGAATCAACGTCAGTATACACGGATTTCAATGTCCATTCCAGATGCCCTGTCAAGGACTATGCGATATTCGAAGACTGTGTGGCGAAGTGGCAACCAAGGCATCAGGCGAAAACCGGAAAGTTCATTCCGATCGTCACATGATCATGGCGTGTATCGGTAGCACATGACTTGCTTGTTATTGTTGACTTCGACGCGTCTGTTTATCGTCACCTGACCGAGCGGCGAAACTGTATATATACAGCGGAGGGTTCTGCTTTGCTCTGCACCCCATGCCTGTGTTTTCCAACGGGGTGGGGTCATACCGCGCATACTGATATTTTTATTTTTATTATAGAGAGCAGGGCCCGCTCACTGTCTTATACGACAATTGTTCGCGTTACATACGATACGTCTCCTGTTCCGCTGCATAGGTCCTCCATGTCTAGGGTGTGCGTGGTCGACTGATTGGTGTCGAAGCTCTCGTACCCTATAATGTCTACGTGCATCTACTGTCATATTAGCATGCTTGCAGTTTAAACAGTCACTTATCCTCCCACTGATATACCAGTGCGGGCGTTCTACTATACTGTTTTATATGCTACATCATTACACTACATCATGATACAACGATATGTGAACCGTCAAGGAAGGGTACCGACATAGATGATTAGTAGCTACCTACGTTTACAACGAGCCGGTATGGGGAAAGCAAACCGGCATGGTTTCATTACTTGATTCACGCCACACAATAGGAGCAATTGAGCCGTGAGTGCCACACATACAGGCGTGCGAGCATTTCGATCAAATTGGAATGTTGGTTGCTTCACAAACGCACAACAGCGCGACACATTCACACGTCACATCCCAAGGACTTAAACTCACGATGAATCTCTCACACACAGCACGCAGGCGCCGTCCCCGTAATCGACCGTCAATTCACCCACGGTTTATCAACGTGCGTCAACAAACTGGAAAGGCCTACCGCCTAAAAAAGCTGGCTCGGGGGTTCGATGACAGCTTTGGCTCAGCATACTGTGATGGCCTTGCTTGCTTTGTCTATGCCGTCTTGGGACTACTTATTGCTTCGTTCTCATCCATTCCTTACGCATCCAGTTATGGCGTACTGTTGGTCTGCTATTTGACGTTTAGCGCTGCTAGGTTGGCAATGAAATGCGCATTGCCCAATATATCAGACGCCTGGAAGTTTTTTGGTATGGATGGTTCGTAAAGCGTTATCGCATGTGTGCATCATCAAGTAGATGGACTTATTGCTTGGCTATATGGTTTACACTAGGTGGCTCGACGAACCTGCATCCGACTCGCAGGCAACGCCGACAAGGTCCAATGTTGAACGTATTCATCCGTGGAGCATCCAAAGGCATATGCTTAAGTAAGCTTCACCAAGACAACCGTCACTGCATTATCTTCAGAGTAACGCCTCAGGTCATAAGGCTATCGACTGACTCGTCACTCTTTTCAGAACTGTCTCCTGAAGCGCTTGTTCAAGATGTTTTCATGGAACTCCGTAAGCGTCACGTCATACCTGCAGCAAGCAACCGCCTCGGCCTATACGCCCTTTACCCGTCGTTTTCTTCAAGCCCCCTCGCTACCCAGCAAACCTTGAATGAAATTGATTTTCGAGATGGTACGCATATGCATGTATACTGGCGGCTTCGAGGCGGGAGTAGGAAAGGCTCTCGAAGTATGCCCGGCCGGTTTCAGGAGGACAAGTCAGGTATTGTTGAACAACATACTTCAGTTCTGTTGGTTCTAAATACGTCATTAAGAACCTTTCCCTCAACCCGGATCGAACCATCAATCTACACAGTCAGCGGACGAAACAGGCAGCATTAGGGTATCTGGCGTGTGTGGCGATGAATTCGACGAGATGTCCGGTGAGTTCAAACTTATCTCAGCATGTATACGCGTACTCACCCTTGATAGATTTATCTGAACTGGATGATGACCATGTTGAGGTCAGCGTGTGCGACGAGGAAGATGATGGCCTTGATTGGAGAGAAGATGACCCGATGCTAGCAGTCGCCATTGAAGAGGAGCTGGATAGATAGTAAGTGGACGTTGTGCTATTCGTTGTTACCAGGACATGTCTCACATTCTATCATGGTGCAGCTTACCAGCCCATCCGAACTTTGCACTCCAGGGCGGTTTAAGTAGCCAAACGATCAGATCTCAAGTTTCACTCAAAGATGTCGTCATGACCAGAGCATGCTCCAGTAACCCGGATGACCTTAACCGCGATCCGTCCGTTCAAAGAACTTACCGAAGGAACGCGGTCACAAAACGTCTGGAAAGCCAGGATGTACAAGTACAACCAGCTTCATCCACTCCATCTAACGGTAAACGTAGCGCTCAATTCAGCACACATCAAGACGTCCCGCATAAAAAGCGTAGAACGTCTGTTCTTGATGGCGCGTTATCACCTCCGGATGTCAGGATGTCGAATACGGGGCAAGGGATAGAAACATCGATAACTCAAACCCAAGTCATGTATGACAGAGTCCCAAACACTGGTAAGTTCAACGATAACTGTCCACATGGGGCTTCTAGCCCATCGGATATGCAGCAACCCGAATCGGTCATTTATTCGGTGGCTCATATTCAAACGTTCTTCGCCCATATTCTTACAAACATCACAGGTACGCGCCCAGTCGAACAAGACACAATCACCTTCGCCTCTCAGTTCCCTGTTGCAGACACACGTCAAATATCACCCGGGCTAACGGCTTCATCTAATGCGCCTCACGGAGCACCCTGGGCAATGCCCCCTGCAAATATACCGCGAAGCTCTATGCCGACGCATCGCCTACCCCCAAATTCGTTAGTTCTTATGTTATTTTAAGTCTCTTCACGATTTGGGACGCCACTGACCTTCAAACAGTTCACCCGTTTCAACCACTTCCAATGCCTATCGGTACGGTCCGCCACCACCATCTGTTGCAGCTCAAAGTCCACGCAACTCGCGTACCTTGGAGGAACTGAAGCAAGATATCGATGCCAGGAAAAGGAAGGATATGGACATAGCGAAGGAGAGGAGCAAGAAGCGTCTGCGGGATAAGACGGTAAACAAGGCGCAACAGATACACACTGACCTGCAATTCAGTTCCCTTTCCATATCCAACAAAGGTTGGATGGGTCGAAGATTTGACCACGATGAAAACGTTCGGATGAAGAGAATGTGGAGGGATAGGACCATAGAGAGTGAGATGATGGGCTTTCAGAGAGTGCCGTTCGATTCAGAGTACGTTTCATACATAACACCAAAATGCAATTCAGCTGCTTATCCATTCGTATACCAGCCTGGCCAAACAGCCAGCCACGGATATAAGGGATTGCGAGGGACGACTGCTATGCAAGAGATCCATGTGGAGGCCAAGAATTGCCGATTTAGTGGTTCAGTTCGGAATAGAGGCTGTACGCCATCTGGATAAAACAGATCCGTATCCGGTTGTAAAGGTCCATACTCGAGGGCCACACCGTTTTACCATATGCGGCGTGGATCGAAATAATAAGAAGGTGCGAGAAGATACATTATATTCAAACGTACTCCACCTAACTACGGATTCAGATTCCAGCTTTGAACCCTTGGCATGTGAAGAACGAGGCTGCTATTACCGAACTTTTTACGCCTGGCAGTGCTGTAGACCAGATTCAGTAAGTAGGGTTTGCATCCAACCCAATTTTCACAAGCACTGAAAAACGGGCGAGTTAGACGAATAGGAATGGACTTCCTCCATACATGTTTCCCTGAAATTGTGGCCAGGTATAAGCGGTGTCATGAATACATCAGGACCAGATATGGGATCAACCCCATGTATGGGTTATTTTACAATTTCTGTCTCAACGGAGCATGGCCAGGCAAGACAGACAGGGTATACTGTGAGCCTCACGTAGACTGGAAAAATATTGCTATAGGGGTTTGTTTGGTTTTTGTTTACGGTGAGCTGATCGTGGCTAAACTATGCTATTCATGCACTAAATTCAGGCGATTTACAGGCAATTTTGACCATAGGAGAAAGGCTTGGCTTGTGATATGGGAAGCCGGTGTCATAATCGAAATTCCGGCCGGTGTCTTCGTCGCTTATCCTTCATCTCTTTTCTACCATTTTAATTGGGATATCGGTACGATCTGCGGTCAGTTATCGAGACGTCTCATACTCATATTGTTTTACAGAGATCGTCACAACACAAGATGGGTCCAAACCGACGCGTGAAAACAGTGAACCTCTGGATGGGCGTGATGGAAGGGGTTCCGCCGTGTGGTTCAACCAAGCTACTATGTTTCAAACGTCTGAACTTGGTTTCAACACGGTTGCTGAAGCTGAAGAAGCTGGTGCTGATACTACAAGTACATATACTTCTGATAGTTTCCCCATTCGCCCTATGTAGATGCGCGTATGTACATGGGAAAGATCACAACTTACTGCATACCATCAGAATCGGTCATCTAGAGTGATAATATATTGGCACCGAATGGGATATACTACGACAATTCGATTATTCATACGGGAAGCATTGGATCGATTTCGGCCAGCACATATAATTGAATGACCTTACAGCCGACGATATCGCATAAGATTCTACCACAGATAAGTAGGAGTATCTGGTCCATTTCCTTATAATGTACGTGAATAAATAAGGTAGCACAGAGTAAGTACGGGAACGCAACTGGAATCAGAGTGGGTGAGGCTCAGCTGCCATTGCCTGACAGCCAGTCACGGAAAGCAGAGAGTGCAAAATCGGGCAATCCAAGTAAGAGAGGTTGAATGTTTGTACCATTTACCCTATCCCCTCGTATATTGACAATGACTTCACGGCCAGACTCCCTTATCCTCATCAGCCATCTACTCATACAAACGACATCTTCTCTGTCTACCCCGTCCTCCACTTTGAAATCGATTACGCGAAGAAGAGGCCACATATGTTGCTCTTGACGGAAAACGACAGCAGATAAAGCGTCAGCCCATCTGGAACCATCCAGCAGCTGCACCTCCTTGACGTTAACGATGGTAGATGTGATATTATACCAGGGAAGTGGACTGGGAGGTCGGATGAATGGATAAGTAGCGGACCGATCACGAACGGCCAGTCGCTCGATACCTTGTACTCCGCAGCAAGTGACCATATGGAACCATTGGTCTGTCGTGGTGTCTATACACTCCAGCGTTATTATAACAGGGCTGGGTTTGCACATGATCGTGAAAAATATGGATGGTCGAGTTAGGGAATAGGGAGGGCCTGCGTCAATGATAGCAAGCTTGGGCGGATGAAGGGATGAGAGACCCATCTGCGAGGTCAGGAGAGGCACGGCTCGTATCGCTGACCACGTAGATGACGCGATGTAAACCTTGGTCAAAGATGGTACCGATAAAGAACGTATAAGGGCGTCAATCGGTGCGCCGTTTCCCCCTAAAGATAGGTATTTGAGGCTCGGTAGATGAATGGGTCCTGGCGGGGAGAAGACGATGGAAGGAGCACTGGAAAAGATACCATAAAGACTGAGGTGAAGGAGAGCGGTGCAAGGAAGAAGGATGTTCCGTAGTTGGGCTAACGACGGAATAGAATGACACGGTTCCAGTTCTGGTGGCGATTGCACGGAGTGCGCTGGGACAAGATCATGTATATCGATGTCCAATACTATCAACCCGGAAGGTAAAGTCAGGGTCGACCATGGGAGCGACAAGTTCGTTATCCTCAGGTTCGTCAACGAAGGGAATAGATTGTCAAAGTCTGTGTGAGCTCCGATGACCAGATGTTGGTTCCCGCCGCGATGTACGTCGATGAGTTGGAGGTGACGGGTAAAAGGCAACGGAGTGCGGATAAGAACCTCCCAGGAAGGATGCGCCCAATGGCGATTTATTGTGATGGTATGAGCTCTTAGTGCTGTGGCGTATATCGCTGGGCGAAAGACAGGTATTGGCGTCGGCATGTTGCCGATTACCAACTCGATGACCTCGTTTGGGTCATTGTGAGCATACTCCACATCGACGTCCTTGAGCACAACGCGGTTATCGAGGTTTGTGGGATCCTATAGTAGTACTGAGTACAATGATATATGGTCACAGTAGGTCGAAAACATACCGACATCATATGCAAGTTCGATAGATAAAGAGACATTTAACGGCCGCCAGCAAAGCAGATTCTTGTATCGGAAAAGATCCCGGTATTCACACGACATAACGCGTGGTTGGAGAAACATCCCCTTTCGTCAACATATCGTACATACGCTCACCGACCAAGTTATTCAAAGCTCTGCGTCTTCGGTCACAACACTCACAGCCAATATATATAGAAACTTGCTGTAGACTGATTTATACAGGAGTGATGTTATTTTACGACTTGAAGGTCATGGGACTCATGCGTTAGCGTACAAAGCAGACGAAGACATCGAATAGCCAGAGATAGAAAGCATAAACAAGACTTAGAACAGCCAACACAACCGGGCTCAATGCAGACCTCCATTGAGCAGGTTAATGTCGAACAGAAAGAGCAAGAATAGACAAGAGTCGAGTGTGAGAAAACAAAATGTGGCAAAGAAGGTGTGGCGTGTTGACAAGTGCGTGAGAAATATATACGGAAAGGGTAGTACGAACAGCCGTCAAACACATAACTCCTCGCGGTTATCCTGTCCATTTGCTCTAACTTGGATCTAACCTATACTTTCGCATATACTGCTATACACGCCATACGATTGTCAAGTGTATTCATCGATGGTACGTCCGCCATCTTACCCTCAAGTTCACAGGTTCCATTAGCCGACATGCCGTCGTGGGCCCATACGTTTTTGTGCTTGTCCACCAGTCTTGATGTAAAGTGGTTGGCCCCATGGTACACTATACCTACCAGAAAGTATCGAGATCTATTGGATGTGAAGTCCAGAGTCATTGTCCCTGATATAGACGTCAAGGATGTGACTTGAACAATGATTATCGGGGGAGGCAGACCCGTAGTGGTGACTCTACTCCGTGTCACAGAACCGCATGTACATTTTCTGCCGGGTCGATCGATGAAGTGTCTGGCAATCGTTGGTGTGGAGACAATCGATCCACTAGAGTTAGGATCTCCGGGAAACACCATACATGATACCCTGCGCTCCCGTATCTTCTTGCCACAACTTGTGCAAGAATGGATGCGAAACGCATATTGAGGGCGACACTTCGTCAAAAGCTCGCATAGGGAGATGATTGATGTCCCTGTGATACCATCTAATGGGAATTCAGTAGGATTGAGGGCATGTGCTATACGTTGGAACTCTGCTTTAGCAATATTGGGATCCAACGGATGCTTCGACCATATGTCGGTGATTAGTTTGAAATGTTCGTTGTAATCTGCGATATTGTCCGTCCACATTTGGTTATGGGTGGAATAAAGGAGATGCATTATGGTCAGCAGCGAGTCGTAGGCACAAGACCATGATGAGGCGTCCCATCTCATACCCATAGGTTGCGGTATGCCATTGAGCCCAGTTCGGAAACGCCGAGCATTGAAAGGCTCATCATTCGTACTTGTCAATGTTGTCGTTCCTTTAGCGGCAACGTATCCTATGGTCTGTGCAGAGGATGCTTTGGCTTTCTTCCTATTCACATACTGTCTGTTCTCAACTACCTGCCAGTCAGAAGTGGATTCGGACTTGATTAGACCAAGAGGATCGGCCTTTGTCCATCTAATCGCAGGATGGGTGCCAGGTGGGCACCACTCTACACCCTTCCATAATTGAAAAGACTGTATTATAGCTGTTCGGGTAGCACCCTTCACGGACTCCGGCAAACGACCCTCGAAGCGCATCTTCGTAATAACATTTAATAATTCTAACTGCTGGAATTCTCTCCTTAGTTGTTCTGACAGTATACCTTTCCCTACGTTATCCGGGATTGGTCTTACTAATACAGTGCTCTTCCAGGAAGTACCTCTAGAGAGACAAGTGTACAGTGATTGATGACTCTTACACTCCCCAGGATCAAATGGATTGCTGGGTCTGCTTCGGCCTTGACTGCCGTAGTCTGTCATAGCAAAGTTAAGTACAACCGGTATTTGGGTGCGAGATACTCTAACCACGGTGTCATCTGAAAGTTTGACACCTATAGATTTCGTATAAGCTGATACAGGGACCACGTTATCAGGTAGTCCTTTCACCTTCACCGTGCTAGCAGTGAGTTTCAGTCTCACAAATAATGTGTCCAAAGTCTGCTTTTCTTCACTGATTGGATGTGCATTCCACCCTACGACGAAACCCTCTGCTCCGTTGGTGACACCCGCTTCTGTCGCCTCATTATATTTGATGAGGACAGGCATTCCAATGCATAGTATTAATTTACCTGGATGATGTTCTGTACGTGCTGGATGCACCTTCCACAGGTGGTCTTGCATTGTCTGGTCAACTACATCACTGCTGCGAAGTACGTCAATTGTTGACTTCTTCTTCTGACGCTTATTGGTGTGGGTGTCTGGATCAGCGCTCGACCATTTGTCAACAGAATAGAATGTTTCAAGTACACCTTCAATATCGTTAGCAAAAGCAGGCACGCCCATTTCATTAATCTTGTCTCTCGACGCATTCCAAGCGGTGATGATGGACGAATACTTAACATTTGGGTCTGACATACGAGCTTGACCCGGACCTCGGCCCGCAGCTCTGCTGTTCATCCAAGCGATCTGTTCGTCTGTGCATGCACAATACCTCAGATCCATTAATATCTGTCTGAAGTATAGGTCTTCGGGCGAAGATCCCGTTTGCCGCATATTTTGCGTCAGTAAAACCACGGTGGTAAACGTGTGCCACAGAGCCTTACCCATGGTACTTCGCTGCAATTGAACAGAGTTTGCTCTGTGTATAACGGAACCAATAGAATGGCTGTACAATGGGTATCCTTTGCTTGAAGGAGGGAGCTGGGCGAAGTCACCAGATACCACCACGTTTCTGCCTCCGAATGCCAACTCCGATATGTCAAGAGAAATAGACATCTGCGCAGCGATATTATAAAATTGCATGCAGTCGATCATAGATATCTCATCCACGAACATGTAGGACACATATTGCAGTCGTTCCCGCACCTTTTGCAGCGCATTTCGAGATTGTGATGGGTTCGAACCAGCGAAACCTAACAGCGAATGATAAGTAGAACCAGCGACTAACGTGGCTGCCGCAGCTGTTGGTGCTACTACAACAAAAGCATAGCTTTCCTTACGCTCTTCAAAGAATCGCATCAACGCTTTTATCACCTGAGACTTCCCAGTACCTGCCATACCACCCAAATACATGCGTAATTGCTGTCCTGATGGATGAGATGCATGTTGAGCAACAATGCGGAATGCACGCTCCTGCTCTTTGTTCAAGTTGAAATCGTGGATAATGTTTTTGATTGCAGCCTTTGATTGAGATTTTCCCGAGGTAAACTCTTGGGTCAAATAAGACTCGTCCACGACCATAACGGAGTCAATATGCTGATTAGCAATAATGGGAATGGTACCATTATGAACCGCCTCTTTAGCCTGCTTGAGACGATGTGCTAAGATGGCATCTTTAGTTGCCTGAAGTGCTGCTTTCCACTCTGCTTTTGTGTGGATGGAGCCGTTTACCGGCCTCATCCATTCATCACTCGTCTCTTGTCCGCGAAGTAAACTGCTGCGAATGCTATCGCTGTTTCCAGTCGGATCTAGCCAACCTACGGTTTGCAATTTATCAGATATGGTATTCATTTTGGTTCTGTCCTCTTTCCAACTAGTTCCTACATATTCTTCTAACGACGCTATGCGCTCTTCTGTTGTTAAATAGGACATCAACTCGTTGAAAGAGTCGTCATCTGCAAGGTCTGCAGCTGTGCGGTCTTCCATGCTATCGTGGTATTTCTTTATTGTTTCCTGACCTTTCTTCAACTGTGCATTGTAATCATCTCTAGCATCGTTGCATTCATATTTCACATGCATGTTTTTCATGGTACGAAGGTCGCCGTCATTCCATCGGTGAGCATCAAATGCCTGCTGCCAGCTTTGATCCGATTTTTTTAACTCTCTAGCTGTCCTCCACGGTTTGAAGAATGTCAACATAGTCATACAGTATTCTTCAGTGTTTCCACGATCTCTACGAGGAAGAGATCCCCCACTGAGATTCAAAACTACATCTATCTCATCGGAGGAGAGGTTGATATGATGAGTCATGAATTGAGTATGCCCGTTAAGAAATGTTAACTGGTGCATTTCCCGCAGATCAACTTTGGGTTCAGATTCGCTTGTATCGGCATATTTACGTTTCAGGTGCCGTGAAGACCCAGAATATTTGAACTCATCATCCAAGGATCCGGCAGTTCTACCGTCGAGTTCCACTGCATCGATGTCCATATGATGCTCTCCTGCAACTGGTACGTCGTAACCAGATTCATCGATCACTGTATTGTTCCGCCGTTTCAATATCATTTTAGGGCTTGATTTGCATTTAGTTGATCTCCGCCACCAATCCCAAAGGGACATGGAGTCACAGACGTCAGGACGAAGACAATAGTCTTGTACGCGATCCACTGGTACAATGGAATCATTCACGTTGCTAAGAACCAATTTCTCGTCCTCAGGGTCTGACTTCATGGTATGTATATCCCAGGTATCCTTCACAAACTGCACGTACTGATACCAGTAAATGGTGGAAATATCATGGCTACGGTATACGTCAGGATGCCCTAGAAGATACATGCAGGCCATTGGTCCGCCAATAGACGATTTGGAGGTAAGAGCGTTCACCATCTTGACTAAAATCAATCGAGCATCCGCACGTTGTTTTGTATTACCTCCGATAGCATCAGACTGAGCACCCAAAACTGACCTTACTGTCTCGAAGAGTACGTGGGTTTGTAACTGCGGTTTAGTCACATAATCTGTGACATAGGCTATAACAGCCTTCATAGCTGTTCCGGAAAGTAAGCTGGTAACATCAGTGTTTGACCTCAGTAGGTAACTCAATACTGCTGAGAACATGTTCATCCACGCTTCACCTTTCTTTAGATTCAAGTAACCAGTCTCCGGGTCCACTGTCGTAGATGATCGTACTTCTCGTGGGTACCGGGCTTTGCAGGTGCCGTATTTGTTGGATAAACAGTGGGTGCCACACTCATGTCGATTAGTTCGCCACACCAGTTCATTGACTGTTGCTTTGAAACCGTCCCACCAAGTGTTGGTCTGATCACATCTTTTACAGCCGGAAACAGGCTCCTTATTCTGATGTGTTTTACACGTTGCAGGTGACGCTATTGGCAGAGTTTCCGTTGGGGGAACGTATCGGGAACCAGATGCTTTGGCTGTTTCTTCCTTAGCGTTGACATCTGTGGCGATGTCACGCATACTCTGGCCATCAAAAAATTCTCCCATATGAACAGACTCAAGGTACTGAACAAGTTCTTGTTGAAAGGTTGAATTCACGTCCAGGATCCTATCCCGGATCTCTTGTGGAGTGAGCGCATTAGCTATCCACAACAATATGTGCAGATGAAGTGTAAGTCGTCCCTGCTGCTCTACCGTGCCATAAAAACCCACAGTTTCCCCAAATATGCCAATATGTCCAGACTTGTGGCCCAGTATGTGTTTGATAAACAGTGTCACAACTATGTTGAAGAAACGAGCACTAGCGACAGGATTGCGGCCTACAAGCCGTACTTTATCTGTAGGGTCCAATAAATCTACATCAAACTTATCGTCGCATTCAGCGGATGCAAATTTCAGACAAAGAGGACTATTCTGGTCTGCGGGAGCAATAGTGACGAACCAGCTAGGAGCCCCAAGGTGAGTTATCATCGACCAAGCCTCATTCCTCTTCCACTTTTGAGTCGTCCTTGAACCTTTCACTTTACCTGATACATGATCCAAGTCACTTAATAAACGATAGCAATCTCTTTCAGCTTGACTACTTTCGTCTACATGTTTACCAGATTTTAACTTATCTATCAATGAATCCAATACAGATAAGTCAAGCGATGCCACGCGTTGTGATACAGATGCAAAAATTTTCTTCTCCGACAGAAGGTATCCACCAAGCGAAGCTTTCTGAACCTGTTCTTGGTTGAATGCGACTAATGGAAATAATGGGTCCATTTGGAACCGTTTATCATGATACATAAGCAGAGCTCTCTTTCGGACGGTATCCGGAACTTTCTGAACACCATTCGTATTTCCAATCCCACCCATACCATAGGGGAACAACCAGGGAAACATCTGGGGATACAGCTGAGGGTTATCGTACGTAGACTCAGGTTCCTCTGCTCTTCCAACACCTAGAGCCTTACCACCTCGGCGAAGATGCTTTAGAGATTCCGCTTTCAGTAGATTGCTAGACGCTCCCTCAATCTTATCTCCGGTTAACCCGTGCACTATGAAGTTACATTCGCCACTTTCGGTTGCAGAAGGATCTACTGTTTGATGTAATGCAAGGTTTTCCGACGGGTCAAAATCCGCTGCTGTTGTGAATTGGACGGACACGGGAGGTACGTCTGATGGATAATCCGCAAGGTTATCATACGATATGTCCAAATCATGGTAATCAACATGATTAACCTTCAACCACTCTAGAGCACGTGCAACCTTATCCTTGTTGACCAAGAAAGGTATTCTTTCATGATCGTGTGTTGATGGACGGGATGGACCCATGAAGACATATGCCAACACCTCAGAAAGTTCGGACCTAGATGGAGGTAAGACCTTGTACACCTTGGGAACAGGTGTTTCGAAAAAAACAGCGTTGCCTGTCATTCGACTGAAACCCGATTTCGCTACTCTGGCGACACACCGGTTGGAAGTTACACGAGAAATCAACATTTTTTCAGCCCAGCTTAGACCCTTCAACACAGGAGGAACATCACCAAGCCAATTACCATTGACAAGAGCCAACTCCGGTATTCGGCCGCCCACCAAAGAAGACAAGCACACCTTGCAGATTCGATCACAGGCATGATCTAGCACAGGGCCTGCCAAAGGCTCTATATTTTCTTCTGAGCGAATACGCTCCTTTCTGGTTACATCGAGGCTCCCAGGGTATAGAAGACGTTCATCAAACAAATTACTAGAATATGGTGAAGAATCCTTATGGTATACCATGACACCACAAACTTTGCACCCACCCTCTAGCCAATTCTCAGGCTTGATTTCATTTGCGTATGCCCGAATAATATCGCCCAGAATATTTCGAGAAGGTGGTTCAGGAGGAAATCGAGAATTCTTTTGAGGACCGCCCGAGGTGGTTGAGAATACAGCAACCGGTGATTTGACCGATCTACCACTGAGCTCTTTCAACCTCTTTGCAGAGTTCACTTGAACACGCTCTCGCCTTTCAGGCACCAACCTAAACACAAAACAGAGTGATTGACATGATAGACAGGTATCGTGACCAGCCAGAGTAGATCTCAACGCATCCACAGACATATGTCTTAGAGGATCCATACTATGCCTCCTCACAATACTCTCTAACGTTCGCCTGCTCTCACCGGATATGATAGACAATGACGGAAAAGTCACAACAAACTCATCTGAGTTGTAATCGGACGCGATAATGGACCGCTCAGCCTGAAGCAAGAACTGGGCTTCTCGATTACCTGCACATCTCAAAGGGAGCAGAACATGAGGTTCGAGATCGGAGACAACATACACCAATCTTCTACGACCGCCCAGATCTGGGCCTCCTCCTAAGAGAGTGGAACAGGCACTATGCCAATATGGAGACTGTGACTGGTATGCACTGCGCAAATGGACACTGGTCCGAGCTGACGAAAGAGAACAGCTATACGCCACACTGCGTGGAAATAATGCCAGCAAGCGGCGCCAATACTGATAGAGTTGGAGAACCGCTGGGTCAGTTAAATTCAGGCAGCAGACTTTGACCGATGATACGCACCACGCAGCACAATATGGCAGACAATATATCATCCATAGTCACCCACGACATGTATATATGGCCGACCAGAGCTAACTTGAACACGATAAGATGTGATCCAGTGAATAAATGTATATTTATGATACAATAAACAGAATAGTAATATTTACCAAAAGGACGAGTCGTGTAGCATGGTAAAGCATTGAACCAACATAGATCATTTGGTGAAATGCGTCTAAGATAATAGAGAGAGAGTATATCGGGCAAATGGTTGTCCACGAAGGCACAGTATGGAGTGACTGAACAGCAAGACGATGAGATGTGGTCGAAAGTGGTATGCGAGCAATCAGTTTATATATGAGCGGAATATACGACCGACCGCAGTCAATTACAGGGCAGCATCACACCGGGGATATCCAATTCGATGGTAAACGCCATCAACGATGGAATCCAGCACAGATCAGCATGAACGGACGGTGCAGGAACATTAGAGTCGGTAATAAACCAGCCACCACACGCGCCACACGAAATGGTAACTTTCCATAAAGCGTAATTTGGTCCAAAGTGGCACGAAAGGCGCTTACGTATGGCTGTGCATCTCCTTTTCGTCCGCTTTGCTGCTCTCCCTTCCGTACCAATCTCTCTCCTTTCAACACTGACTGCCTAACGCCGGGTTACCGACCATAACTTCATCAAGGACACAAACAACCGCACGATGGACCATTAAATGGACACTGAATGGTCACTAACTCACTGCGACACAATCAAGCGCACCGCATGCATAGAGCTAAAGGTGAGATGCAGTCCGACTCATCAGCGAAGCTGATCGTCTCTTGGAGAGCTACCCGAGGCTTGGAGAAGCTTGCTAGCGCTTGCAAGGCTCGCCAAGGGGCCCAAGGGGCTGTCAGCTTCGCTGATGGCCCGACGGAACACTCTCGCTCAGACACCAGAGTGAGACGAATGGGTCCGTACATATAGTCATGTCGCCTAGTAAAATTCCATAACAACCAATGGTTTTAAACACTCACCGAGCAGGTACAATGAAACTGCATTCAGTAGAAACAATAACCTGCGATATTATGAGTCAGTTTGGGGACGGCTGCAGATAATCGGTGTGAGCAGATGTCCATACCAGTATCGCACAGCCCATGATTGTACACCAAACGCTTGCAGGACTACGGTGGCAGCCACAAAGCCGACATCATGCGGATATATTGTACGTCCAACTATACCGCTCCATTTGGCGCATCCGCTGAACCAAGCGCAGGTAGTTACTCAGCGCGTGCAATGTATATGACCCGTCCTTACCATCTATCAAACCAACTTGATGCACATCGTGCATGCAAATTAACCATGCGGGAACAACAACAATGCTGAAAGTATGAAACCCACTGTCACGGCGATGAAAGCGTACAACGTGCTTAGGCACAGACCTACGCAACTGGCCATGAACGATCATCGGTACACCCAGTTAGATCCGATATACCGAAATACTAATACACAGCATATGTCAGTAATGCCCCAATAGAGGTCTTCATAGGCTATTCAAGCGGATCACCGTGCTGGGACACACAACCAACGACATTAAATCAATATACCTTGAACTATGGCCGATGTCGAGACGATAAATAACTGCTATTGGATACACCTCAGGTAAGCTGCCATCGATGCCACTTCCAGATACAAAGGGATACACTTGGGCACTCACAGATGCTTAACAGTACATTCTACTCCAGATCGCGTACTGCGAGCGCAGCCTCCGATACACATGAGCAAGTGTTATCTTATCTATCTCCGGCCGGAGATCAAGATACACTCGCCGATGCCGAATCGGTGACTGACTTCGCGCGTCGCCACACACCTGTCTCAATACTCTCGATTGTCATATACTCATACGCACACAATCACCTCTACTTCGCACAATGGCATCAAACACCGCCGCACTCGACATGCTCTCGCAATCTTACCCTGAGCTCAGGGATAGAATAATACTCGATCTTTACCACGCTATAGTCGGCGATTTCATACATCCAGCTACTATGTGGAATCAGTGTCCACCCGACCGCTCTAGGCCCCTTCGCGTTCTCCTCAACACATTCTATTCGCATTGTCTCGTATCCAAAGATTTCAAGGATCGCATCGAAAACTACGGCAACCTGTGGTCTGTCATTCCGCTAGGCCAGACAGACGAAGACAAAGTACCTCGGTTCCTCGCCATGTCGAAACGCTGCCCTCTCACCGTCTTAGTCACCGACGGTTACTCTATCGGCCAACTGTACGAGCTATTCACCACAGACGGGTACCGCATCAAGAACCTCTACATCGATCTTCCTGCCGATTTATGGCCCACTCTTTCACCCGCCATAGGTCGCATACAGCTACCTAAGCTTCGGAACGTGTTCTTCGGTGCGAGGGGTATACCGACTGAGGAGTCGAACGTGGAAGACGAAGCGGCAAACGTAGGAGGTTGGGGACTTGGAGGAGGAGGGAATGTGGGAGGGGGAAATGGTGGAGGGTTGGGCGGAGGCGCTGGCGGGAATAATCAGGTGCATCTTTTGGCTGGGCGCCATCGTACGCAAGTGAAACCCAACCGTGCCGCCGCACGACTATCACGGCTACCCGCCTCCACTCTCCTACTAAGAGATTCCGAGTTCGCCTTCCATCACTTAGAGCCCCCTCACAATCTCTCAACTCTCCATATCCACAAAAGCCACAAGGGTCGCTCCAGTACCTACTTCCTCGATATCGTCGAGCTCCAACGGGTCCTCATATCATCTCATGCACTCCTGGAGCTAGAGCTGTGGGACGTAACGGCTCACGGGCCCCGAGCACAGGCTCCTATCATCGGTTCCAGCCTCCGTTATGTCGCACTCCGAGGAGGTTCCACATCCATTGCGGCACTCACTCACTTTCTAGGCCTTTGTCAGCTCCGAGTCGCCGTGGTGCAAATCAACGAGCCGGTTTCCTACCAGCCCACACTTCAGACCGACATGCTATCCGCCGTCTCTTCCCTCACTGCGGGTAAAACCATCACGGCCGTCGGCATATCCATCAACCTCTCCTCGGAAGACTTCTGGCATTCCACAGTCGACGTAGTATTCGCTTTGTCTGATGCGTCTACGGTATCGGTTCAAGTACACTACACGGACGCACAAGGGATCCACGCAACGCTGGAGAATCTGGTGCCACCCAATTTACGCCTATGCATCGAGATCATACCCGGCGCCGATGCGAGTGACATGGTGCACAACGTATTCCCGCTTTACACCAACCTCCCCAACTTCTGTTCTTTCCACCTATCCATCCACGAGCATCACATTCCTGCTCTGTTGAACGCCTTCGAGAGCTTCAGGCCGCCACGTCCGCGTACGTTTTTATGGCTGCATGGGGAACGGAGGGCAGTTGCATTGGGAAAGATACAGACGAACCATTCTTCATGGGTCCCTTACGTATCTGTGGCCGACGAAGAACGATGTGCGAGATTCATGCCGAGGAGCAGGAGAGGATGGGTTTCGGATCGGGACGGGGACTTATTCTCGCCGTTGGTACCCCAGGTACACGACCACTTACACAGGATGTTCCAATACTAAAGCTCCGTATGTAAGTGTCACGCCTCACCATACATTATCAACCGTTTATATAGGTGCACGCTAACAGAGGCCCATCGCCAACGTCAGGAAATGCATCCAGTTCCTTGTAATTTGTAATGTACATACTAAGGCTGCTTGCGCATTTGCACTTCGAATATCGTGACGTGGGTTTCTTTCTTGTGAGTGAGGCTTAGCATCGATGATACAATCTATATTATTCTGCTTCTCTATGGTAAGTTATTCACGAGTGACCTTCCGGTGTCTGAAGAGTCAATGCAAGACTGAAATAAATATATAAATAAGTAGAACAACACAATACAATCCGAAACAAGACGCAAACATACTAACAGCACAAAAGGATAGGCATATATATACAGCAACGGAACCAAGAAGAAAGACAGCCTGACGTGCATAACAAGATACAAAATATCAATCCTCAGGCTTAGGTCCATTCACCAACAAATACACAGCCCGCACGTTCAAACCCAAATTGTACTGCCCAGCATTGTCCTGATCACTGAGCCACTTGGTCGCAGTATAGCAGACCGCTACCAAGGACTTTTTGCGAAGCTCTACTCCGGATATCTGGGGACATATATCAGAACCGGCCTGGGCGAAGAAATCAGCAAGGCTGGACATCTCAGCAAACTCTCCAGCACGACGGGGGTGGAAGAACCGGGTGCAATCAAAAACCGGGACTACAGAGAACGATAAGAACACCGTTGAGCTACCAAGGTAAATAAAGCTTACTCGGCTTTCCGTATAGGATAAACGGAGGCCCGCGTCCCACGGAGCCTCGACTGGAAGACTGTACTTCACCAGGTCCGGGAGCTTCATTGTGGACAACGGGAACGACAGGTGGATTCCGAGGTACGGTGTATGTTGGGAGTGGATTACCGGTCCCTTCAGCCTCCCATCGATCCCTCTGTCCTTCAGCTTGGATACATCAGAAAGAGACAAACAAGACATGATGTGATTGAAACCTACTGGCTTTGCCCCAAGTGCTCTGAATCGTAATCCCATTCTCATGTATATAGTAGGCTAATACATTTTCGTCGAATGCATTCCCTATGCAAGCAAAAGTACGGTCCCATTCGCCTTTGAAGGGGTAGATGGTGACACCATAAGCTGTCGAGGACGTGGAAAGCTTCGCCACACGAGGTTTAAACAGATGGCTGTCCACGATCGATCCGAAAGTGATGCAGCAGGCAGGACCGGTAGAAAAACCCTTGACAGTGAGATTGTAGGAAGGGTTCTTGCTGTTCCTGGTTTTAACGCCGTACAATCGTGAAGGAGGGAATCTAGCAGGGTTGATGAAGCGATGATTGTCACATTGGGCGAAAGACATGATATCCTTAAGCAATCTGGGAATGAAGATGTCAGTACAAGATGTTCGAGCATGAAAGGGCATAAGTAATCACCCGGTATTGATCGGCTTGGGACCATACGTTCCGTCTTCCAGCCACGAAAAAGGAGTACACAGCACCTCCGCTCCGGCAGAAGACGACATAGCGACAGCACTGTGTACAGTCAGACTCCAGAGAATAAACAGCAGAACAATAAAGCCACGCACGTCAGAGGGTAAAGGCCGTCATATGTCCCCGACATGAAATCATCCATGATGCTGCTGTTGGTAATCTCACAGTACTTCGTGGAGGTGTTGAGACTGACAAATTGTACACAATTAATACAAATATTGGAAACAATAGAAAGGTCCAACCTATTGTTATCAAGCGAGCCTTGTACCTTGATTGAACTACCGTCAATATAATACGGGGACACAATTAGATCAACAATCAACGTCCTGAAACACCATTTGCTCACGGAAGCTTATTCCTCTTCGCAATCTTACCAACGTCCTCCTTGCGATGAAGTCTGCACAACACGCATCCGTCAGCAAGCACGACGGATATGACATACAACGCTTACATTGAAGAAGAAGGTTTTCCCTTTGACTATCAACGCGTACCAGTAAATAAGTCAGTCCACTTATAGCAGCACATAGCACTCACAGCAGGCGCCACATTGGAACCGCGGGTCGAGTGAGAAGACCGAATAGATCCTTTCACAGGAGTGTTCGCAGCCTTCAAAAAACAAGAGTGACATTGTAAGTACAGTGATGCACTAAGAACAGATATACTGCTTACCACGGACTTTCCCTTGCCACTACCTTTCGAACGAGATCTCGGAGGGGTCCTAGCTTCTTCAAGTGAAGCATTATCTCCATCCGCATCAACATCTTCGCCATCTTCCTCTTCCGTATGATCACGACGGGATTTCCGTAACGATGATTTAGTAGGCGTCCGCCCAGCCTTGAATATACAGAATAAGAGATAAGAAATATAAAGGCGCAAAAATGTGGGTAACTCACAACGGTCTTCCCTTTGACTGAACTTATGCGACTAGACTTGGATGACTTTGCCGGCTGGACAGGCTGTTCATCTTCATCATCTTCTTCTTCTTCCTCTTCCTCTTCCTCTTCCTCTTCCTCTTCCTCTTCCTCTTCCTCCTCTTCGACTTCTTCTTCGACATCCTCAACAACCACACGTCGACGGGAAGTACTAACAGGCGCCTTTGAATACGGGCGCACACCATTTGGTCAATGGAGACGACACAACGTAAGTTGTCGAATATCGATAATGGACAAGAAAGATACGTACCACCGCCTTGCCTTTCGAAGATGCGGAGCGGCGAGGAACTGAATGCCGAGCTCTATCTGAAGCAAGCTGGCCCTCCTCATGGTAATCGTCATCTTCACTGCGAGATACAGCAAACCGACGAGGAGATGACTGAGCAGTGGGCCGCCCAGAGTTCTACAACATGAAACTCAAAATGAATCAACACGTCAACAGCCAAAATGAGATGTACTGACAGAGCGACTGCCTTTAACAGGAACCGACCGACGACGATTGGCGGACTTCTCTTTGATATGAAGATGCTCATCCTCGGTCTCTTCCGCTGTGACTTCAACTTGTGTGGATCGTGAGGAAGGAGCAGACCCCTTCCCAAAGTTCTGCTTAGCCTATCAATGAAAGGAATAGACACAAAAATAAGCGGTCAAATAAATGAGCAATACATAGGGTACTCACGGCCTTCCTGCCTTTCCCAGCGGCGGCGCGACGGGGAACAGGGGATGCATATGTATCCGACTGATGCTGGTAATCATCATCAGCCTGCACAAATTCCGAAGGTCAGAACATAAGTATCAACTTAAACGAATCATGCACATACCTGATCTTCATCCTCCATCAACTTCACTCTAACCTTCTTCTTCGGACTAGGAGGTGCACTACTCGGAGGGCCCGGAGCATAATCAGATTCATACTATATAACAAATAGGACACATGTGACGTGCAATTGTATAGACAAAATCAATATTATGGCGCATCATGCAAGAGAAAATAACTCACATCTACCTCTTCTGCACTGGCACTAGCGACTCCCTCCTCATCTGAGTTGAAGTAAGAAGTGTCGTCTTCGAAGTGTTCTTCATCGGCCATCTCAATATCGTCTGCATCATCATACGCCTCGTCAGCGACGCCAGTATCGTCGATGAAACCAATATCAGACGGCCGGGGGCTCTCGTCTCCACTGTATTGCATTCTGTAACGCAAACTCAGATGTATCAATTTGTAGCTCAATATGCGACATGCCAACATCAAATCAGGACCCACACAAAATCGTTGTCATCGGAGACCCTGTCCACGAGCACGAAGTCACAAATTAAATAAACATCGAGACAATGAAGATGACAATTAAACAACTCACTCGGCATGGGTTTCACCCTCTGGAGCATCCTCATCGGATATGTCCGCCGTTTCTCTGTCCTTTGAATGTGAGCAACTTTACAACTGACAAAGACATATACTGACCGGGTGGTCCGACGAGCACCTGTCCGGCGAGTCGAGGCAACACGACCCTTCTTTGTGGTAACGACATGCGATTGCGGCACATCATCATCGGAGGGCTCTCTACACAATTGGTGGGCAGCCAATATGATTTAGTACAAAGCTACTAAAACAGTGTAACATACGTACCTTTTGGATCGAACGGCTGACTGACGACTTGATGAAGTGGGTTTATTCTTCTTGGGAGAACGCACTGTCTCTCTGGACGGCTGATGGTCTGAAACGTCGCTGTAATTTAAAGCACAACAAGACATCAACTGAAAAGAACTACAAATTGACTTGGAAAAAAAAGTGGGAAACGCTAACAATGCGAACCTGTTTGCTGGTTTTTTTCTCTTACCACCACCAGCGGGTATCTTGGAAGACTTGGCTTTCGTATTGGAAGGCGCGTTACCAATATCTCCGTCAGAGTCAGATGCCGTCGTGGAGTCACGCATATCACTTTTAGAACAAACAGGATATTATGATATTAGTATAGCGACTGAACTTAATAAGCAGATCCAAACATACTCATCTGAATTGCCCAATGGATGACCACGGCTGGTCTGCGCAGACCGCGATGGTACCGAACGAGACTTGGGCAAAGACGTACTATATGGATAGCATAAGATCAATCCCATGTTGAGAACACACATAGGCACATAAACTCACAGATGCGCTGGCTTGATGCCGTCTTCCGCACCAGCTGCAGCCTTCTCAGATAATTTCCTGTGAATACATCTAGACGTGAGCATTGACGCGACCGAGAAAATAAGAATAAGATGATGTTACTTCTTCCTGGTAGACCGAATTGGATTAACAGATGGGGTAGAAGCAGCCTCAGTTTTTTTAGTACGCCTAGGAGGCATTGCGACGAAGAGGGTAGAACGAGGGTGAGCTGATTACTAGAACAAGTGTACGGAGGTCAGTTTATAATGTAAAGATAATAAAGAACAGTATTCAGGCGATACAGCAACGAAAGATAATAAGGTTTCGAGCGGCCGCAAACGAAGCAACACGAAGCTGGAGCATATGACGAGATGGGGACACTGGATATACGGACGGATCATAGACACTGCCATGAAAACACTGAACACCGTAGCATACGGGCCATATCTCCATGGGGAGAAGTGAAATACTCGAACACATCGATGATCTCAAAAGTGAGCTCACACGTAGTCATTGCCCAGAGGAGAAAAGACAGCGCCCGCGAGAAGAGTATGCACAGAGCAATGCACCCTGTCCATTGCTTTTGGCAGGATGGAACGCATTGGGCAAGGGATGGAAACGGTAAGTTGAATGCCATACTCATACGACACAATGGACCAGCCAGAGAAAGATAGTGCACTCATTTCCGCGGCTTCAAAGCGTAGAGTACTCCGCATGCCTGAGGCAAGAGACCTCCGCAGGCGAAGGTAGTGCCAGACCGTATCGCATCGAACCAAAAGGACAACCGTTGACGATATCACGAGGCGAAAACGGCGTCAACGGCCGTGAGATACAACAAGATTTCCTTGGAAAGCACAAAAGGAGAAGTGCCGCACAAGCAACGACAATCCATTCCGCCGATACACCGCCTCAAATTCAAGACGACTTACACCCCAGCATCCACACAACCGGACAAGTCCAAAAGTCTTGAATACCGCAGTTGTGATGAGTTACTGGATGCCCGATCAGCGGGTTTCAGTTCCATATTTTGATCTAAATAACTTGCAATAAACGGAGGCGTGATGGAGCTCCGACCTAAGATGGAGTAGCCGGAAAGCAGGAGTCAATATATAAATAAGACAGAGATACCATGTGTGCAATAGGAGAATACACTTACCTAGACTCATGTCATCCAACTCGGAATTCGTTCGATTCGTAGCGGACCGTGCCAATAGTAAGCAAACTGGTCAACTTTTCAACTGACTGACTGAACACGCATTGCCTATGTAGAATCGCACGCAAAGCAGATCATACACAATGCCACTGCTGATTACGACACGAGTCAAGATCTGACAGCCTTTCGAAAGGTGAGTATATAGTGGAAGTACATTAATAATCCCATAACTTACCAACACACGTTCTTCAGAGAGCCCTATATGTCCATAGGACTATGGACAACAATTCAGCGGTGCTCCTCGAGAACACGATCAACAACTCCAATGTAGAGGAGACTGTAGAGGCGATATTCGTCGTAGCCGGTATCCTCATTCAAAGCAACCTGCCGCCAATCAGAACGAAAGCTCAGTAGGTCCAACCGACTAGGTCTGGAGGGGCCAACGCTAACGAACATTGTCACACTCACAGACTACCAGATCAGATTACATCCGCTGCTCAGGAGGTGTCTATCATCGCCGCGGACGCTGATCATTTCGACAAAGCTGTAGCCGCCATAGAGGACATCCGGGATATGTTCGGATTAGAGTTCCCAAGCGGAGCACTGAAATCAGCAGACCATAACCTGTTTGAAGGCGAGCTGGGACTCACGTTTGGAACACGTTATTTCACCCCATCCCATATATGCAAGAACGACACTGGGGAGAAGCTGCCCGCCGAAATAGACCCATTGGGCATACTGACCAAAGCAGCGAGGGGCAAAGGGAAGTTTCTGCTGGAGAATATGGTTCTATATCACCAGCATAAAGGAGCGCATTCAGACACAAAGTGAGTACATACACAATATACAGGTTATTGGCGCTGAAGACATAAATTCCTAGGTGGTTTGATATCGAGCCGAGCCGATTCAGGCTGGGCCAGGTGGTACAACTTGAGGTGGCTTTTCGTGTCATACCAACCTCCTCCAAATCCCATTATCGAATGGTCCCTTTGCTACGTAGCCTGGCATTGCTGAACAGTGATATATACACTGTGAGTGACTAGTGCCATTTGTATATGACGTTGGTACTTACTGGTCAAAAGGCATGGGAGCAAATCATCCGCAGCTCCAAGAAACCCCCTACCCATAGGATTCAATTCAAACGAAGCACCGCGTACTACATCAAAGACGAACCTACACCAGAACTGCCACCAAACAAGAGGGCAAGAACGGAGCCTGCGGATGAGTCTGCAAAGGCGGGAGAGCACAGTGGTGAGGGTGGGCAGCATGATGTTGATGACCAGATGCCGTTCGCCGTCGACTACGATGACGGCGCTCCAGTCCAAGGATAGCCGACATTAACGATGAGATCAATATACAGTGATGGATACAGACGTACCGTAGTGTGTCCGCATATACAGTATTTCGGATGTGGCGAAATCCGCGGTGTGGACCACCGAATGGATATATGGAGAACGAGTCTTGATGGGGAATAGATTAGCCTATAGAGGAATATATATGAGCGTAGCCCCTCGATGATGACTGACAATAACCCACTTCTCCGACTGATCAATGTCACTAATCAAAGGTAAGAGCACATAAATATATGACGCCAACATCCCACTGAATAAGCAGATACAGATGAGAAACTACAAGTCACTTTCAAAGACATATACGACGACAACGAGGACAGCAAATTCTTCAAAGGCGATCTGCGATTTGTTCCCTCGGGCGATAGGGAACTGTCCTCCTGGTTAACCATAGTCACACACCTAGACGAGCACCAATATCACGGCACGATCTACACCGACGTGGTGTATATAGCCGATCCGAGCATGCGGCTGACTATAAGGATAAAAGCGATGGTGACAGGGCTTAACTTCGGATCGTGCAGGTAAACGATACAGTTACAGAACGAGCGAACGCTGACAACTAGAACAGCGCCGAATACACGGGAGGTGAACAAGAAACTCTGCACCTCGGACATGGTGGATCTGTCGACGAAACCAGCTATGCAATACAGCACCAACGCCTGAATGACATACGCAAGGCATGTTCGAGCTTGGCACGCGGATCGTCGACTTCACCACACAAGTATCCTGCGTTAAGCAGCTCCTGGGGAAAGATGATTCTTGTGCTTTCCCGCCGAGCCAACAAGTCCAGAAAGGTGCGTACACACTCTACCATTCTCACCGCCGAGCAACGTCACTCATTTTGGCTAAAACCCAAAGCCTGTCAGGGTGGAGATTCTGACCGGCGACACGCTGGTTGAAGCAGACACAGATGCCATCGAGATCGGAGATATTGTGGACGTACCGGTTTGGATGGATGTGTGGAACGGCCCCGCCGACTTGAATGTTGATCCTTGGACGCTCACAAGCTTCGACAGGTTGGTCATAGTGGAAAAGAAGACGAAGACGGTGAGCAACATACTGTTATCGACGAGCAGACGACCTAACATGCGCATAACAGAGAACGTGACGATGGCGAACTTTGGTTCAAATCTATGCATTGGGTGTTTAATGAGCGGGCCCGAGACCTGCATTGATATCAATATGAGAAAATTAAACGCTAGGGGGGTGGCAAGGAGTTGATTGGCACGTAATACAAGAATATACGCTTACATATTTATGCATGCACAACAATGAGCGACCTTGAGTTTCAGAATTTCAGAGATAGATGCCAATAGACATGTTTGAGTGAGCACGGTCCGTTCAAAGAGCAAGTAGAATGTCAGCTGAGGGTCAACAGTGTGCGGCGCGATGAGTACAAAGTGGCGTAGAAAGGTGGCGTATGCAAAAAGCCAACACTCACGCAGTGTTATGTGGCCAATAAACAGCACGATCAGATTGGTGAACATCCTGGTGAGAACATGTAAACCTCACATATCATCACGTACATACCGACCCGATGAGACTTACAGATGTCGTGTGCTCAGTCACTGGCATCGGGTGCGCCCGTCCCTCCCCAGAAAGTCCTTACCGAGCCACGGTCGACTGGAAAGAGGACGCGAATACACACACATAGAACAAGCAGACGTTGAAGATCCGACATCGATTAACCAGCAAGAATACCACAGAGCATAGAGCGACAATGGAGCCGAGCGCACCGATATGAGCGACAAGCGGGTTCCAGTTTTGTCCATAACAGTGAGGCGACCTGAATCAAAGAAGCTGAATATGCAAATATTTGAGAGAGAACTCGAACAATAGCCTTACCTTGCAATGCATGCATACCAACTGATCGCCCACAAGCGTTCATCGCCCACAAGCGTTCATCGCCCACAAGCGTTCACCGAACCAAAGCTTTAAGGGTGCGGCTGGCATTCACGGACTCGCATCGACCAATATCTAGAGGCAAGTAAGGACAGCTGGCGAGCAATCCAGGGAGGTGCAGTGGATAAACAATGTATCTGTATCAGAGACGTACGATGGCCGATAGACAAGAAGGAAGGAACAGGGATGAGCGCGAGCGTTGGAAATCTCGCCACACCATATGCGTGGGAATTCTGAATCACAACCTAAAACAGGAAACCGGGGCGGAAGCCGAAAAAGAAAAAGAAGCAAAAAGAAAACATTTATACACGATTCACTCGTTCCTCATGGAATCGTAACTTTGCCACCCCATCATGAGGCTACATATTATTTTCGGACGTCGCTTTCGCAAGTCCATTTTCCGTGTTGAGTGCAGTTCTGCGTACTCATTCAAAACTTCTTCCGAATAATCCTCCACTTACTGTAGTTTTTCGACCGTAGGTTCGTGGGAAGATTATGTCAGACGTGACCTTCGCCAGACCACGGTTCGTTTGGGCGGACCACGCGTGACGAACCAATGAAATTGTTCGCGGTACGTCCTAAAATTTGATTTCTGCTCGATTTTGGTGGAAATCGGTCACGATTTGCTGTTCGTGGACCCGCGTATATGCGTGACCATCAGGTCAAATATGTTCGCCGGCGCACCCTGCCTGATGTGTGACGAACATATGGTCGAAAAACTACAGTATTGCTGGTTGCATAAATAATGAGAATCCGCGGCGAAAGAAAAAAAAAGTTTGCGACGAGAGGTCGCCTCTGAGCTCGCTCGGACCGGCCGGCGAGAGGCCTGGGGAGGTTGCAGGTTCAAACCAGACCAGAGTATTCTTGCAGCCCTACCTATACCACGCCCTCCGGGCCAGACCTGTTCCTTCTGTCCCCACAGAATTGGCCACCAAGTTGCTTTGCTTCAGGCTCCTTCGCCACTTGGCGAAGAGGAGACAATCATGAGGAAGACGAGAAAACCGAACAGTAGACAAGTCGGAGCTGTACGGGAGACGGAAAGATGTGGGGCGGACGAGGTGACGCTCTGAGATAACGCAGTGACAAAAACATGAGCTCAAGACAGGCCCCACAGTTTTGACGCCACCGCCACAGGTCGGGGCGTGACGTGACTGGTGTTACCGCAATGAATGACTCTTGTTCTAAGACCTGTCCTAACGGAACAGGAATACTATGGATGGCCCAGTAGTTCAACAAATCTTGAGCTCTCGGCCGAACCCTTGTCTCGCAACCTGGGACTACAAAAACTAGGAGATATGTACTTTGAGGTCTTCTGATTATGTCTGTGTGATCTATAATTTTTTTGAGAGAGGCCGGGGACATCAGCAAGGCCGCATCTGGCGAAACCTAGCCATTTCGGTCTATTCGGTCTCCCGGGAGACATGAATAGATCCTTTGACAGCATCTATTCATCATAGACCTGCCTTTAGCTAGACATGGTTGGATTCTGGTAGACGCAGGATAGATGGCGGTAGAGCACGATAGTCCGCGAGGTTTATGTCGTGGATCATGCCATGGAGCCCGATATGTTTCACTCGGACTGCTCAGTTTGGGTGGGAAATTTCATTGCATTGCAAAATATACATGGTAACTACTCGAACAAACTGACTTTACGCTAATGTATGGGTGACATGAACCAATGCAAACCAACGCAAACCTCTCGAATGGACTCCATGTGTAGCGAAGTGGCTTTGTCTCGGGATCTACGAGATGTCGGCCTATGAAATCTAAATATAACAGCGCACAGAAATTAGTCACATAAATAAGCATCCCCAATATCAGAGACGGGACTCACGAAAAAGTAGGAGACAAGTGCCGAGCAAGCAACCTGTCTATCTGAAACGCAAACCAAGACGTCAGTGTAAGAAGTAAATAGGATAGGACTGATGCGGGGAAGCCTCTCACCTTGTGCGACTTAACGCCGTAACGGCCCCTCAATGACCGTTGAAAGTTGGCGGGTCACAGGGCGGGTAAGAGCAGGGTATAAGCTAAAATAAATATAGCCATGTCAGTCGGATCAAATGCAGAGTTGTCGCAAAGGAGGGCACGACTTGGGCACGACTCGCCTGGTATGTTCTGCTACGGGATTTTCTGCAACCCCGACCCATGAGGTTTCCGCTGGGTCCCGTCCATCGGTGTCGAGTTCCAGTCGTGTGCGAGTGCCCTGTCGATGATCCTGGTATCAGTGCACGAAAAAAAGGGATTCGAGGAAGAGGGGTGCAGGAAGAAGATGAAAGCAAGGATTGAAGCGCCGAGGGGACACTTCAAGAGAGCCTGAAGCGTGAGAGAAATCAACAACGAACGAGCGCAGGGAGCTGTTGAGGGCAGGCGTCCGAGTCTTGCCTTGACAGCCTTTGACAGGCCGCGGAATTTTGATTTCTTCACATGTCATTCAAGACTCGGACAACCATCTATTCGCGCTATATCAGTCTATCAAACTACGAAGCATCGAGAGCGCCCTACGGGTATAGAGCGAGAAGAGTGCCTAGACCAGAATAGACTGAAAAGTTAGGTTTAGGCAGATGTGGAACTGGGAAATGGAAAAATCACGCTACGGTAACGATGTGACGTGACGTGACGTTTCGTGACGACGCGCCGTACGTGCAGATTTGGCCCTCGGAGTGTGGCGCCGCTGCATGGAGGTGCCGTTTGCGTTGTATTCATGGCCTTAGAGGGCAGATTATGGTGTAGGGCTTCCATAGACATTGCTAAATGCATGGAGGGTGCAGAATGTATTTTATAGCAATAAATACATGCATTTTGAGTCATGTATATGTATATACACTCATAAAACCATTCACACCTTCACGAAGAGCCGCGAAGCGGCCCAGAAAATATTTTAACTTGTACCTCATAGCGTTTACACATTGCGCGTGAGTCGGCGGGTGGCTGGAAGGACTACCGGGTATTTGTGTATGGTGAAATCGGGAGGGAGCCAGTAGAGGGCACCGGAGAGTGTGGCAAGACAGCGAGTGTGGCGCGACGTGACGGAGGCGCGCTGGATCGTGTTTTGATGCGACGGGATCGTGTTTTTTTGGATAGGAAGGTGTCTGCGCACCTGGGCGCTTCACACCAAGCTCCCAGCCAGAATTCTACCGAAGGTGGGACGACACCGAAAAAACACGCTCCCGATAATCAGAAACACGATCCAGTACGGGTGCCTGAGGGGTACGCGAGTTATACGTGAGGCGCCGTCCACCAATCTTATCTATTCGGGTGCCGTTGCCGGGTTTACCTCATGGCCATCAAAGCTGTCACACCGTGGAATTTAGAGGGAATTTCGAGCGGTTCTCATTGCTGGAGGACCCCTCCCCCAAGACATACAAACCAACTACTCAGGTGCCACAAAAACGCGATCCGTCACAGACAATACCCTCCTGGCACTTACCGCGTGACAGGAGCGTGTTTTCCCCGAGAGAAACAGTCTTGCTGATGGAGAGGACTTTGCCGAACGAGTTCGACGCCAAGACATGCCAAGGCCCCACTCAAACTGGTTGATCGTCACTCGTTGTCACCTTCCGCCACCCGGCTTCTTCAAGCTTCGTCAGCACTCTTTGGCGCAGAGCCACGCGCGGAGATTGAATTCTGTCTCTGCCGTCTCTGTAACGCTTTCCCCCCTCCCTCGCCTTTAGCTACCAACACACAGATCGGGGTGGTACAAAGTATTTAGATGTACTACAATATGTACTCTAATGTCTCACAAATATAACTAGATTTTTTGGGTGCTAGGATCTAGCTGTCTCGAGGGAGTCACGCTTGTCGAAGTGGCAGTTTTGACCATCTTTCATTTTCTGTACCGACAAGCATTCGGAGTACGGGTATCAAACTTTACAGTAATGGTCTTGATACAGGAAAGAACGTGAACTGACTGGAGAGGGAGAAAAAGATTATTACGGAGGTTGTCGAACTACTGGGTCTTGTCGAACTACTGGGCCATCCATAGTACCGCATGGTCCCTACCCAGAGTATGCATTGACCCGCAGGACTTTGAGACAAGAGCTCGATTATACGGAGCCGCTATTTTAGTAGCGCCTGTCATGACATCTTACAGCAGTATATCCAAGGCAAAGTCGTGTATATAACTCTACATATCGAGATAATATTTTGTATCATACGTCCTGACACTGTGAAAGACAGATAGGGTGAAATTCAGCTAAATTTAGGGTGAATTTCATGTTTCACCCAATTTTTGGTGACCGCTGCTAGGCCTACAGATGGCTTCATTGAAATTCACCCAAACTTTGCAGGGAACAACAAACCTCTAAGATATCAAGATAAATTCAGATATAAATATAACAGAGCAAGATATACCATGAGGTTGACGCTGTCAACGTCGAAACTGTACAGGGTGCGGTGAATCGAGACGAAGACTGCGAACTTGGGCGGTGGCCACAAAGCACAACAGAGTGGCGTAGCGCTGTGGTGCCGATGACGTCATAGCCGTGTCCTGCTCAGCTTCACTCGACTCAGTGCTCTTTGCTCTCTGCATCCACCACCACTAACTCTGGCTTCTCATTGACGTCGGACACAGCTCTCCCTTCGATATAGTTATACTCTAGGATGTCTTCTGGCCGCCGTTTACGCCTCACGCTTTCCTTGTTGCTTGCCTTTCCTGTCTCTGTATGATCTCAGTCCTTGAAACTTGACACTTGCATTCTCGCTGACAAGGAACACGATTCGACTCTCGGTAACGATTGGGACAGGGACGTTGGGAAATTGTCGGAGACGTGGATTCTGAGGTCACTTGAAAGGTGCAGTCGTCCTCCTCTTCCCATTTTTTTCGCTTTCGGGAGCACTATGTACTTCATAGTTAGATACAGTATGAGTGGAGATCGCTTGCTACTTCACAAGCTATCCAGGTACGCCACTTGCCACGCCGATCTCGCCCCCCTTGGTTATCGTGCTTATGATGTCGGTCATATATTGATCTGACTTGATGCACTCGCTGACCCTTGACAACTCTCAACTTTCTTCCATCTCTCTCATGTCATTTCTTCCATTCTCTCTCTCCCTTCAGCCTCTCAATAGAGTTATATCTTGCTGTTTAACTTTCATGGAGGGTGGAGCCGCTGAGATAGGTCACCGGTGTGGCTTCTCAGTATACTGTACTGTGTCTGAGGAGCATGCTACCCTAATGTATTACTGTACATACATAATTCCTAATTAATCAAATTTCTCTCATGTTCCTCGTTCTCTCGGGTGCCCAAACAAATAGACTCGCAACCCATCAGCAGGGTCTAAGCTGAGAAGCGTGAACCGGCAGCCGTACCTCCTAGAGTCAGCCCAAGATACGTGGATTTTCACCCAAACCCTGATTGAAATCTTCGGGTGAAAACGAAAACAAACATAGTGAATTTCACCTAAAAATTTCACCCAAAATTGAGGTGAAGCCGATATCCGTCACCTAAGAATTGTGTGAAAATCCCATGTGTCTTCGGGTGAAAAATCAGGGTGAAATTCACCCAATGCGTACCCCCCAGTGTGACTCGGAGATACTGTACCTCCCAGACGTTAGGCGACGTCCGGTGTCCCGAAGGGCCTGTCGCGTCGCCTATTTGGGCGCTTGTCCCGGTGTCCCGAGGGCCTTGTCGCCTAGGGTAATATATTCGTATTTTCCTGTGTTTTCTTCGAAAAATAAAATAAAATTGGTTGAGCTCATGATTGAGAGCAATAGTACTATAATCCGCGAGCTCTGATGATGGAATTCTGGATCCTGAAGCCACAAGTGCGACTGTTTGCAGTGCGTGGCACTCAAACTCTCATGAGTAAGGACCAGCTTGGGTCCAGCCACTGGCACTGTATTTCTCAGTGACGGTTCCACACGCGAAGCAACACCACAAAAAATTTTACAGTTCCAGAATTGCAAACACAGAATACATAGGTTAAAGAACGGTGCGTGGTGCTCACCGGGACCTGTCCATGAGCGATGTGCTTGTCGCCTACGTCCCGCTGTCCCAAGCCCTTGTCGCCTCTTGGCGGGAGTTCCCACGTTACATAAGCAGTCGTCTAACGTCTGGGAGGTACAGTATATACCCTCAACTTTTATTCGAGTACTGAAGGCCTGGCAACCTTCAATTACGGGGCTTTGAAGGACTCAACACAAACTCAACAAGCATAGTGATTCAATACGCAAATCGATATCAAGATACCTGAAAACCTACTTACGTAAATTTGTGGTGGGTCAGGTGGGTCTCTCAGCTTCAGTCGGCCTTGTCGCTCAAAGGGGACTCGTGCTGACCCGAGGGGAATCAAATCACATTCAGGTAGAGCACACGAGTATGGTAGGGATACATAGTACCATACTCGGCTTAGCTTGCTCAAAACACCACTTGAAGCTCAGTCATGTCGAGGGTGGACTAGGTCTCTCGGTAAGCGGAAATTTTTCTTGAGTACACAACCTTGCGTTCATCTCGTTTCTCGACAAGTCCGATGGAAAGAACGTAATGTGAGATCGAGGTCTGGAACTTTGGTAGCCATAACTCCAAATCTCACGGAAGGTCTACATTTAGCGGATACACATGTCTATGGGCGCTCCTACAGCCTCAAAGAAGCCTCAGCGCAGCCTCCATGTACTCGCACATGTATGTGTATATATACTTTTTGACGACGTGTACTCTCCCCCACACTCCTTCCATCCTTTCTACGCTACAAGTATATAGACTGCGATGAACATCGACAAGGACGAGAGGTCTCCTTCTACGTTACTCTCCGTAACGGCAACCCCGTGTCAATGTGCACGGGAAGTGGGGAAAAATCTCGTTGTATGCATCGATGGCACTTCGAACCAATTCGGAGAACAGGCGAGTCTCTAAATTCGTGTCGGACCATATATGCATATAGTCGTGGCGTTGACGTTCACCCCTTAGAATACAAACGTCATTGAGATCTACGGACTATTGGAGAAAGACCACAAACAGATCACATTCTACAATAGTGGCATCGGGACATACGCAAGGCCAGCCTATAAGTCATTCGCCTACTACAAGCATAAGGTTGGGCAAGTGATGGAGCTCGCGATTGCCTGGTATGCTATATCATTACCTCCAATACATTTTAGTTTTCGTTGAGAACTGCTTGACAGGAACTTCGTCGACACCATCATCCTCGCCTACAAGTGGCTCGCGGAGAATTACTGTCCAAACGACAGGATATTCCTGTTCGGCACGTTCAACTCTCGACCCGTGCTGCATTATTTCTAGGCTAATCTTCGACGCTTAGGTTTCTCTCGTGGAGCATACCAAGTTCGCTGCCTATCCGCCATGATCAAGCACGTAAGCAGCTCTAGAATTCTTCTTTTTCCCAAAGCGTGACTGTTGCTAAACTTATGCTCAGGTGGGCTTGATTCATCGTGGCAATGAAGCACAGATACCATTGTGCGCTTTTTCGTCATACATATCCGCAATGATTCACTAATACCATCGTCTTAGTGCCTACGAGCTTTACTCTACCATTGGAAAGGTCGGTGACCGAAATATTTCCATCGCTATGATCGCTAACTTATTATGAATAAGCACGGGAATTCTGAAGAGATAACCAAACGCTTCAGAAACGAGTTCTCCCGAGTTGCTCACGTCCATTTTGTCGGTGCATGGTTAGTCGGCCCTCTTCGTCCTTAATTAGGGCCCTTATGCTGAGTCCTTTGCATGAAGGGACACTGTGTCGTCTATTGGATTGTCCAGAAGGAAGGTTGAACCAGACACGACAACAGGGATGAAGCATGTCTGCTACTTCCGACATGCGCTAGCCCTGGATGAGAAGCGAGTGAAGTTTCTTCCTGAATATGCCAACGGCGGCAAGGAACTACAGGAAGACCACGACAAGAATGTCGCACGAGATGACCCACCACACACGAAGGAGGTCTGGTTTCCGGGAACTCACTCGGATATGTATGTTCTTTCCCATGAATTTTCTACTTTATACTGAACTGTCTGTCAATGAAGTGGTGGGTGGCGAACGATAGAACAGGATATTAAACATACCGCGGGTCCAATGCGGTGGATGTCATACGAAGCGACTGCCCTTGGTCTACGCACAATGTCAATAGTAAAGAAGAAAGAATTGGATGCGGGGCTAACTGCTAGAGCGAATATGAATCCAGAACCGGCCGAGGCCAAACAACCGGAGGACCGAAAGAAGCAGCCACTGGACCGGGATGAGCATAACCCGAGAGACCCTCAGGCGGACGTGACCGTCACCGAGTCGCTGACGGGTCTTTGGTGGACCCTTGAATACCTGCCTGTGAAGCACGTATCCTACGACTGGCAAAAACTGATTCGATGGTCAGTCGTGTTTTCAATCAACACGGCTGCGTCATAATGCTAATATTGAGATATCCATGTAGGCCTCACCTTGGCCGAGCACGATACATCCTTTCGGGACAAAAAGTCCACAGTTCAATCACGAGCGCCACAACTTGTCATGGTGGACATATCACCTACAAAATCACGACCTCCCTTGACCGCCTAGAAGGAACAGTTGCCACAGAGATGCAGAAAATTTGGGAGCACCCACCTCAGCTCGCAGACTCCCCGCTGCCGGATTGGGTGGAGCCAGACCTCATTTCACTTGCGTCACAGCTAGTAACCATGCTTTGGGACCCGAATCAACAGAACAGGCGAGAGTCCGGCCTGGAAAATCGCTTTCGGACTTTGTATTTCTCTCGTGAGCCAAAGACACATTTGCTGTGGGCAGTAGTTGACCCTGACCAAACGATGACAGCGGATGGTCCTCACGCAGTTCTCGAACACATTGTGACCTCCACTCTAGAGTCATTAGCGACAATAACAACAGCATATGCACACAAGGAACTCGTTCTCTTTGCACTGCGGAGCTTCATGAGTGGGTTTCAAGATCCCGAACATAATTTGGCCTGGCGGGATTTATACGGCCGTCACTCATCCGAAATCTATGCTCTTGCGAAGAAACTGCTTTCGGAGGGTAATCAGGATGATTACAAGACATCTATGAACTTCCTCCGCTCTTCTCTTGGTTCGTCGAGTCCTGTAGCTTATCAGCGTAGTCCCTGTACTGACATAAACCGGGATAGTGCTTGGACACGAGCGCGATGATGCAGGAATTGGAAAGCTCTGTGTAGCTGTCTCACCTCATGGAAACTATTTCGCCATCGGCTCTGACAAACACCTTCTTCACATCATCGATACGGAGTCAAAAAAGGATAATTCTGTGCGGCCGCCGAAGAATCATGCAGGCGATGTCACAGCAGTCTCATTCTCACCAGACGAGAGATTCGTCGCTTCTGGATCCACCGACCAGACAGTGAGGATCTGGGATACTCTCAACAATAAGCATGTCTTCGGACCCATGAAAGGTCATACTGGCATGGTCGCGGCTATAGCCTTCTCTCCGAACGGTCGTTCCATCGCTTCCGGGTCCTACGATACCACCATTCGACTTTGGAATGTAGCCACCGGAAAGGAAGAGCGAGAGCCGCTGTGCTACCACACACATCCGGTCCTCAGCGTCGCTTTCTCAAGCGGCGAAGCGGATAGCATGCTCGCATCGGGCTCGTCAAACGGAACCATATGTCTCTGGGCAATCCAGACCGGGAATACTATATTCCATCCCTTCGAAGGACACAAAGACGGAGTCGTCTCGCTCTGCTTCTCACCTGACGACACTTACATCGTTTCCGGCTCTCGTGACAATACCGTCAGACTTTGGGATATAGAGAGTGGAAAGGCCATCGGAGAGCCGCTGATAGGCCACACCGCGACTGTTTCCGCCGTCGATGTATCCCCCGACGGGCTCCAGATATTATCGTGCTCCTACGACCGCACACTTCGCGTTTGGGATTTGGAGAAGAGAACCATGATCCAGTGCTTTGACCAAGATCATGGAGATTGGGTTGGTGCTGCCGTCTTCTTACCAGGAGGGAACTACATCGTCTCCGCGTCCCTCGATGGAGCATATATCTCGAGAGACGCGCAGACGGGAGCTGTCAGAGCTCAACCTTTCCTGGGTCATTCAGGCGCCGTCCTTTCCGTTCGCTTTTCAACGAAAGGGGACCGCATCATATCTGGCTCGGAAGATGGTACCTTTCGGATATGGGATATGGCCACAGGAAAGGTGTTGCTTCAGCCCAAACGACACAAGGGCATTGTGTCTCGTGTTGGCTTCTCCCCCGACGATACATATGTCCTTTCAGCCGGCTCAGATCGGACGATTCATCTCTGGGACGTAACAAGCGACATCAAACATCGCCAACACCTTCGCGGCCACACTGGCTCTGTCATTGCTGCTGCGTTCTCCCGCAAGAAGAACATTATCGTATCTGGCTCTGGAGACGGTACGATCCGGATATGGCTCCTTTCCACGCAACCTATCTCATGCGTTGGTATCCTCGTCGATGCCGGCAGAGTGATATCCATCGACATTTCCTCCGATGGAAAGACTATCGTCTCCGTTTCAGCAGATTCACGTATTCGCCTCTGGGAAACGGAGTCCCGGAAACCTTTGATGAAGCCATTCAAAAGCGGTGGCGGACAGGTTTGTTCGGTGAAGTTTTCCCCAGACGGACAGTATGTCATATCGGGAGGGAGTAATGGGATGATTCACGTCTGGGATGCGAGAAGCGGGAAGCTGCACGGGGAACCTCTCCAAGGACACGCCGGTTCTATTCTATCGGTGTGCTATTCGCCTACCGACCGAAACATCGTCGCCTCCTGCTCCGAGGACAGAACGATCATAATATGGAATATCGCCGAGACAAGGCTGGTGCATCATCTCAGAGGCCATACAGACGTGGTTCATTCAGTGGCATTTTCACCGGGCGGAGAGCGCTCCCCATACACAGCGTAAAACGCCAGAATTCGCCGAGGGCATATTCTGGTCAAATTACGCAATACAACGGGAATCTCCCTGAACCCGCCGTGCCGCGTCTGCCGAGAATGCAAGAAAACACGACGGGATGACATTCTCGTCCAGTTCTTGTCTGTCCTCGTGGAATTCTGTCGACTGCCAAGATATACGAGAATCCGCCTGGCATCCGAGAAAACAAGGTTTTCGAACCCGCTTATGCAGGCCCGGAGCTCAAGCGCTCACTCGGGCTCGACTTAGACTTTTTTTTGTGCCGACTTGCTCCCTCAGTGAGCTCCTCCATGTTCCTCACTCTGGATTGTTTTCTTGTTCCCTCCTTTGAGCACGCTGACACACTGACATACTGACACACTTTTGGTTCTATAGCTTCATATAGCACCTGGATGCCGTCAGGACAAGGGGTGCAGGTGCATTTGAAGGTATTACAAAGAGTCGAAGGTGCGTCCCAGCAGTACCCAGTGACCCCTTGCTTCCGTGACCGCACATCTGACGTTGTCCTTTCCTTTCCTCGCTAGCATTCTAGGTCAAGTCTTTCGTAGTCCATACTATCTGGCTATATCGAACTATCCAGGGTGATGTTGTGCGAGTCCAAGGGCTCTGAGGCAGAGCGGCAAGCGATGAAGTCGGCGGCTTTGGATAATCATGTTCAGCGACAGAGCGGGTTCGTTCGCTTTCATTCGTCGTGACCCATTGTACATATGTAGTTTTGTCTGTAGTGTATGCTTCATGGAAGCTGTATCTAGTATTATTTTCCTAATTTCCTGGCTGGCCGTATGTGAACATTTCAAAATGCTCGAAAATGGAGCGATAAATGAAACCAGAGGGTCTACAAAAGGAAATTACTGGCGTGCAAGCAATGCCGTCTATTTACAGCAGACCCGGGCGTGTTCGCAAAGATCCTGGTCGCATCTTGCGACATTCTGAGCGGATTCAGTCCGTATCTTGCAAAACTTACAAGAACACGCCAACTCAGACATTCTCGTCGTATTCCCGGCGTGTTCTCCTAAATTCAGCGAATACGCCGAAGATATCCGGCCGGCGGATTCTGAGGCTTTACGCTGTGATATCTGGAGCTCTGCTGTCTTCGTATCCTTCTTTGTCCTCATAGTGACCGTTATGGGCCATGGCAGCAGAGAATCAGAAACTAGACAGAAGATCCCCCCATCATGTTTCGTCGCTCTTTTGTTACCAGTTTGGAACTATGTATCTCTCAGCATCAATCAAGACCACGCAGAGAAACAGATCTCTATTCCATGTGAGTAATATCCGTCTCATCTTATCTCACTCCATTTACTTTCCTTCTGGCACCACGGCTCGTCTAGAAATACCATCTATCATGGCCAGAACACATGGGCTACAACGTGTCTTGATCTTTACAGTGTCCGGCACACTCGGGGGCGCTCACCATAATAGAGCCCTTCATAGCATCATAGCTTCATCTATCACAATGCATACCGTATACGGTCTTCTGATACATATGATATTTCCCGTTCAAAGCGTCTTGCAAATCAGTTCCATGTATGCATGCGTTTCATCCAAACCCTGATGCATGGATGGAATCATCCAAGCGGAAAGCACAGTTTGTCCTCACTACCGCAGGAATGGGGCAAAAGGCTACAAAAAAGAGGACGTTGGAATACATGTCGAAACGACTACGGCCATATCTATGCACTAATCGACTGTATCCTTACAACTACAGCTCGTGGACAAACGACAAAACGACAATCTGATTGGCTGGCCAAGCCGGGCATAGCCGGAGTCACTCGTCAGCTGACCCAGCGATCAGGCTGTGGCCCAGCGCCACCATGCTCTCGAAAGTTCGTTGTAGAGCCGCGAAGTTTTGAGCGCGGTCGGCGTCGATATATAAGGCGGCGGCGGCGCCTGCTGCTTTAGCAGCGGATTTTTCAATCCTATCTTGTCGGCATGAGCATCTTATGCTTTGGTCTCGACTCGCTTTCCAGCGTTGACAGAATACTTAGGGTATGCTCTGTGGCGGCAGGCAAGTGGTGAGCCCTCGCACGGCAGAGCTCTACATGGCAGTTGAGGTACTTACCAGGATCGCATTCATGATGCGGGATTGTGAGTGTGAAAGCCTCTCCGTGGAGCTTCATGCCACACGGGATGTCTTGCCTGCCCACCAGGGCCCCGAAAGCAAAACTGGAGGGTCTTTTGGAGAACGGAGGGGCGAGGCGCGATAGCGCCTCGACCTGGAGTTCGAGGAAGAGCCCTTAGTTTTTTTTCTCGTCCAGATTTCATTTCTACTCAAGCGGTCCCTCTGCTGGCCCCGTGCGTAGCACGGGCTGGCTGCTAGTTTCGTACACAATCAGTCGGTTTTCTCGTCCCGGCTGTTGGAAATCAGCTTGTGCAGCTCGACGTTGCGAGACTTTTCGCGAGGTTTCCACGGTCAGGCTGAGTCAGCCGCGCCACCCGGCTCCGCCACTTTCAGTACATTGTAGAATATTCTAGTTACTTTTGTACAGTACTATAAATACAGTGAATGTAGGACTCGTTGAGGGCATCGAGTTGCCCTAACACGAGCCAGTCTCACCACTCAGCGTGATTGCAACCTTTCCCTCTCTCTCTCGCTCTCACTCGTCCTCTTTTCGTGCCACTCATCACTTTCCCACGAAAATCCAACACCGGCGCCATCAGGATGAGGTGACTGAGAAGAAAGTTAGATGGAACAACCTGTCTTCGCGTCCCATAGACGTATCGTCGAGTCTGCTGATCCCGAGACGATGGCCTGATGCTGTGCGACGCAAAGATGTGTTGCGTCCTGATTTAGACGCTTGGCGGACATAATAGAACAAAACATAGAGCGCTCCACCTGGAGGTAGCAGAACGAGAATAGCTACGGTCAGAGAGTATGACCGCGAGCTGCATGATGGACAGAGGAATATCCATCTCGAGTCGACCAGCTTGTGGACACAGAGGAGACGGCCGACTCGCAGAGAGTAATTGACGCCGCCGCGACTATGATTGGAAGATGGGGGAGACAAACAGCTGGTCGAGAAGTGTAGGCATGAGAACAAGAAACACATCTTTGCGACCCCGAAGCGGAAGTTAACCAGCAAAAGTACACGCTCATTGCGGCTTGGAACCACCTCGTGGGATGGAAACCTGGTGAGACCGTCTGCCTATCGCAAGTTTCCTGCGTTTCGATGTCGCTCGAACAGATTTGTCTTCAACGAAACGCGAATGGATGATAACATCCCGTGGGCAAGAGGACGTCAAGGCGGTGCAAGTGTAGATATGGGCTGTGTAGGATGAACAGAGAATGAATCGCCACAGAGATCCCGAGATAAGTATGGGATTCAGATGGTCTTGGAGGGAAGGGCGGCGCCTCGCGGGATAATGATGATGGAATGGAAAGATGATCAAGAAGCGGCGTGTCGCTGTGAGTTTCAGAATCTCCCGTTATCGGGGAGAAAGCAAGGACTGAGAACAGGCTTTTGCGATAGTCTCAGTCGTGGACGACGAGGAGGAAGGAAATGAACGGGTTCGCAAATGGAGGACGATCACTGGAACGAGCTGCCAATCAGTGTTGGCACTAGACCCTTGACCCCTGGTCAAGGTCGGGTCGAGTACTTGACCGGTTCGACCCGGTCGAGTCCCGGGTCAGGCAGGTCAGAGTGGCGTATTTGAAATTTATGTACAGCGTGATTAATTAAGTAAATAATGAGCAACACTACGCCAGGCTGTGTGACGGCGAGGGCGGCGTCGCCAACGAGCCACTGAAAAGTTATCTACAATAATCCTATCACAACGTCTACCCACTCGTGAACTGAGACCAGTGAACTGCTTCTACATGACCCTCTCGGACAGACTTTCGGAGCCTCCGCAATGGCAAAGCTCGCTCTGGGATCACTTCCATAAATTCAAGAAGAGATACTACAAAGAAGATACCTCTCATAAAGCAGCTTGGTGCCGTGGATGCGTGAAGAATGAGATCGAGGGCCTGGAGAAGCAGGATGAGTTGGCAGTCATACATGGAGAACGAGAGAACATACGAAGTGAGGATGAACTTTTTGAGACAGGTACGCTGTACAGAGCCTCTCAATTGGAGTGTTGGTTATGACATTCTTGGCAGCAATCGCAAAAATTGAACCAATACGCGGCAAGCTAGAAACATTAGAGGGTCATCTGAAGAAATGCAAGCATATTGATGCTGCAGATGTCAAGATAGCACTCGAAAAACGAAAGATCGAGCTCGAGACACATCATAACAAAGAAAACGGCCATAGCGCACCTTCTGCATCACATTCACCTCCCACGACTCCCTCACGCTCCCGTCACACCACTGCCATCCATCCTGACTCGCCCGTCGCAAAGCGCCAGAGGCTCGCTGATCATCCCATACCCATTGACGAACTACAAAGGGAATTCTCGGACGACTTTCTACGACTGTTGGTCGCAAATCGGCTGGCGTGGAATGCTGCTGACCATCCGGAGACCCTGAGATTCATGCGAAAATGGTGTCCGGAGGGGCTCCGTGTACCACATCGTCGTATGCTAGGAGGTCCGTTGCTGAAGAAGGCGGTGGCGGTGGCCGATAAGAAGGTGAAGGGTTGCGTTCAAGGGCAGTTAGCGACAGGAGAGAGTGACGGCTGGAAGGACACATCAAAAACACCCGTGAGTACGACGATGATGACCGTCAACAATGAGGTATGGGCAAATTGTGGAATGCGTAGAGAAACGAACTGATGCACCACACTGGTGGGAATATAGTCCTATCTTGTACGAACGCACAACCTTTCTGGACAGCGCAAGGACGGCAATAACCTATACGACATCATCCTTGACGATAAGACTTACATGGAAAAATCTTTCCTTGTAGAACTCATCGCATGGATCACAGATGATGGCCCCGATGGAAAGAAGGCGAGGCGGCTACTGAGCGAGAAATTTGGGGGGAGGATCATTGTATCTGTCTGCTGGGCCCACCAGATCAACCTCATCGTCGGCGACTACCTCAAGAAGAATCCACAGATGAGGCGGCACGTTCAGATGGCCATACTCGTGATTGAATGGTTCCGCGCTCATGACTTACCTCGACATTGGCTCAACCAAGAGCAACTCTCGAACGACACGCACGCTCTTGTTCTCATCCTCCCTGTCGTGACTCGCTGGATGTACCACTATCTTTCGGTATCTCGCCTTCTTGCGGTCTCTGGAGCACTGCGGGCATTGGTCTTCAAGCGTGCGGATGATCTAGTGGAATGTGCGGGAAGGAAGGATGACGACAAAGAGAAGGCAGAGAAGGTGCTGGGTATAGTGGAGGATCCAGAGTTTTGGGATTGTCTTCGGAAGTGAGTCGTCGTTTCATCTGATTAGCTATGCCAATCTAATCAACGAGAGTAGAGTTCAAGCGTACCTAGAACCACTTGCCATCGCCAACAACGTTGCTCAAGCAGCACATACTCGTTTCGATCACATACTCATTTCCCTCGGCAATCTATACCGCATCTATAGCGACCCAAAGCTTGAGAGGGTTTATGGACGAAAGGCAGACGTTCAGTTCTGGGAAGCCACGAACGACTATTATCACTCACAAGGTGACTTTTCGGATGATGGGATGTCTCTCGCGTTCTTTGAAGAGTCTTGCAAACAGAGGGTGAGGTCTGCTTTGTCTTCTCTCGACTGATACTGACCGTCCGGATTTCTCACCGATGTGATCAGGATGAAGAAGTTGACGTCGTCCAAGTGTGGCGTGCTCTCGAGGATCGCAATACCGATGACGCGTTCAATGGAAGACAAGGATTCATAAAACTTGCCATTCGGATCCTCAGCATTGTCGCCAACTCGGCAAGCTGTGAACGTAGTTTCACAAAATTCGGCAATGTTCATACGAAGCTTCGCAACCGTCTGTCTTCCACACACGACATCACCACCGTCAGTATGGACATCGATCGCGACCACGCAAACGCAAAACGCAAACGCCCCAAGCGCAAATTTGGCGACATTGACTCGTCTCAGCCCTCCCTTCCACCGTCCACTCCAGAATTACTTCCCCAAGAATCAGATGAATTTGCTGCTCAAGACCTCCTGGACCCGGAGCACGACGCCACCGATTTCGGTCTCATCGCTGATCGCCTATGTGCAGATGCAGAGGCTCAGAGTGCGGACACTGAGGCGGCCTACAGTACCTACAAGTTCTCTCAGATTCCACTCTCCGATGTCTTCATATACCCGTCCTGGAACTCTGGCATTTCCGCCCAGCCTGGCTCTATCTTGGAGCACTTCTGGAAAGGCGGTGTTCGGAGTGTTGAGTTGGAAATGGACCTGCACGCTGCTTTGTGGGGCGACGACGACGGGGTTGACAAGCATAGTAAAGATTCATTGTAGTTATTACATAGTACATAATCAACATTCTCAGACTACCCTTGAGAATGGCTATCTGGAGCTCGAAGTCTTTGAGTAAAATGAAAGTGTGCCACAGACCGGTCGGATCTCTGTGGCCCCGCCACAAGGGTCAAGTGGACTTGACTCGACCCGACCCGGAACTCGACCCGCCGGCCTGACCAGGGGTCTGGCATGGTCGAGTGCCAACACTGCTGCCAATCGGACGAAAATGAAGGGGCGGGATGCCTGATCGGGAAGATAAGCCCCTGATTCGGCGCGTTTCAGTGCCAAGATGCGGTGCGGATTGGGACGAAAGGTGATGTGCCTTGGAGGTGAGTTACCACGGTTGGCGCGGTCTTATAGCGGGTCGTTGCTCCTGATGAGAGCTCCGTGGGCACTTTCTCCTTCCCCTCATCACCCTTGGTTTTCTCTGCGCTATCCACGTATTTGTCGCCGTCTAGCTACTCGTGCTCACCATGTCTGACGGCGTCAGCCCATCCGACCTCCCTGCGTACCTCGACTTACCCCCTCATCTCTCGGCTCACAAATATTTCTTCGTCTGTACCTTGACCGTTGCTGCATGGGACACCCTTGTCCTTACGCCTAGGAGCTGGAAACTCCTCAAGACGGATGGATGGCCCCCGCTCAAGGCATTCTACTACTTTTTGCGCTGGTTCATGCCCATCGAGTTCGTTATCGTCGGTGCGTTCTCAGTCTCGGAATATTTTGGCCTATCAGCGTCTAACAGTTTCTTGATGGTGGTTCCTCCATGGCGCTCGTTTTCTGTGATGTTGCTGTCGCTCTATTATGCAGGTGTCGCATTTTTCGACTCCAGCTGGACCCAGGATGTGAGTTGGACTTTTGACGGTTACGTTTGAGAAAGACCATACAGTACTGACATTGTAATGTTTTTCTTGCATCCAATAGATGTGTGGCCACTTCTTCCTCTTCGAACCCATCTGCACGGCTATCCTCATGGCCGTCGCCTCTGGTACGCATCTGTGCTTCTTCATCGACCCCCGAACTCTCCATCATATCGCCACAATGTCTCACAATCAAAATATCACACAGCCGTCCATGTCATCCGTATTCACGCCATCTCCGACAAAAACCGCACCGTCTTCTGGACTATGGGTGCACTGCTGGCCGTGCAAATCGTAGTCACCGCTATCTGCTGTGGCTTCTATCGCTGTACGTCCACCGTCAACTGCACCTCTCTAGTCTGCTAAGCCGGAGCACACATCACGTTTTCCGGAATTTCTAGCCGTTCCCTTGTTGGATGGTCAAGGCTGTATCGCTGGTCCCAAGTCCAATTGGGTCGGGATCTACTGGCTCGCGCCCACGCTCGTCTACACCCTTTCTGTGCGTATCCGCCCCCTTGTCCTCCGGTGATAATCTCAACCCACTGAGATTCTGACTGTTTCCGTGTTCCATATATAGTGCGCGCTCGCTATCAGGCGCTCTGTCAAGTCGAGGCACGCCAAGCCCTTGAGCCCGTGGAAGTTGATGCTCCGTGACGGTCTCAACCTCTACGCTGTAAGCAGCACTGTTCTCTTCATTTCCTCACGTTGCGGAGACTAATGATCTTGTTTTTCTGTCTTATAGGCGATCTGGGCTGTGAACATGACGAACATGCTCTTCTGGTTCATCATCACACCTGAGGATGACCCCGAAAACGGCACCGCGGACACCATAAAGACCATCGTCACCAGGTAAGCCCCATCCCCATCTCTGATGCTCACTCGCCCTTGAAATCAAACTCATTAAACTGATTTCCATCTTCTTTTCAAAAAACAGTATGACCGCCGTCATCACCACCACCATGACCATGCGCATCATCCTCTCCGTCCGCGGCACCCTCGTCAACGGCGGCTCTTACGCCGGAACGTCCAACTCCAACTCTTCCGCCTCGAACTCCAACTCGCGTAACGTCGGCTCTCGCCACACCCACCCCACCGCTGGCGTCCTCCAGATCAACTCTCAGCGCGGAACTCACCACACCTACACCATCCAGGCCGTGCCGAAGCCCGAGCCGGAGTGGGAACAAGGTGGGGACCAGAAGAGCAGCATCCATGGCGGCGAGGAGAATAAGGAGAAGGAGGGGAGCGGACTAGTTGCGGAGGGTGCTGTGGTGGGTGCGGAGAGCAGTCCGCCGGAGCAGGGTGTGAAGATTACGGTGGATAGGGAGGTGAAGTGAAGAGCCGAGGTGAATTGAACGGCGAGGCGTACCGTCTCCGCTTTTTCGTCGTTCACCCGCTGAAAGCTTTCTCTTACTTTGTGCCTCTTCGATTCCTTCCGTTTAGTCTTTGCGCTTGTCGCTTTCTTGGCTGTCTGTTTTATGCTTCCCATTTCTTGCCTTGCCTTCCTCCCGGCCATCTCTGATCTTGATCTCTTCTTGGTGCTGCTATGTGATCCGTGACACGGTCCTGCTCTGGAGTTGTTGTACGAGCTTTTTGTCAATACGCTACTTACATACTCCCTCCTGCTTTTGTATTCCCTGTCTTGCTTCCTCATCCCTCCATTCTACCCTCTCTGCCCATTTGCTTTTACCTCGATCACCAAATGGATGTCGCGCTCCCCTGCTCCCAGTTATCCGTGCTTTTATCTATGTACCCCCTTCTTGCTCTTGCTTCTTATATATAACATAAAACCCCATTACATATTCTTGGTAGGTTTGTTTGTGTGTTGATTACTTGACTCGTCGATGTTTGCTTGCTGGTTGATGTTGGTCGGTTGTTCAGCGGTAGTGGTATGGGTTCTTGCACTTATATCGTCTGCCGCCTACCGTCTACCGTCTGTACTTATGTATTGCGTTCGAGCCCTTGTTGTGGGTGTTCAATCGAACCTTGTTTTCTTGGATTTGGGGGGTTGGCTTCGAGGAGAGTTGAGTGCAGCAGAAGTGAGGTGAGCGATGTTGGGCCACGGCGCCACTGACCGAACCTAGTTGATCCGGGAGATGCCGGCTCTCGCACCGTTGTGCTGGATCCTCGAGTGGCGAGCGCTTTCGCAGTTTCTGCTCGTTGACGGAAGACGAGTGGGAGAAAACTTCAGCTCTGTTTCTTCTCATGCTTCGGCTATGGCAATCGATAACGAAAACTAGACGCCCCAATCTATGCTGAATTTTCGAGCGATCTCGGTCTCCTTTGTGGACTGGTTGAAGCAGCGCTCAGGCTTTCTAAAATTATTCCCTGCTAGTAGTATCCAGGAGGTTGCTGTTTGTCTGTTTGTTTTCTGGTCTTACTTTGTTGCTTATTCTAGCGCTAATGCTCGTGTTGTCCCTACCAAGTCTTGACCTCTGGTAACAGCACTCAACCTCGCTCGGTACTAAACCAAGCGGAGCGCGAGTAAGTACCACCGTGACAGCAAGGACGTTTCAGAGAGGATCACAAGCCTACTGATGACCCGTTTCATCGTTCGAGAACGGTGAAGTTAACCCGTATTTGCGACAGATCAGAGTCAATTCTGTATTGTCCCGTGTCTCTACTTCCCGTGTCTCTAACCCGTGTAACCCGGAGACAATCCCTTCGATTCATCCTGAGATATTTCGACTATCTAACCACCCACTTTACGCTCACCGATCACATCTTCATCTCGACCTTGCGCGATGTCTACCGTCAGCTCTATCACCAAGAGAAAAGTGGGGCCGTTTGCGATGCAAGACACAGGTGCTCCTGCTGGTCGCAGCAACTATCAAACTCTGGTCATCATACACGGAGCGACTTCTCCTGGTGGTGAGTTCCTAACCATATACAATCATCCATTGACTCAATTTGTATCTGCGATGACTAACCGATTGACATTAGACATATTCAGCCGCCTTGTACCCTTTGCTTCCCAGTCAAACGCTCGTATTGTACTCGTCAATCGCCGTGATTATCCCGGGTCGACTCCGTACAGCGACGCCGAACAGCAGCTCTTGGCTTCTTGTCTCTCAGATACGGCGGAGGCTGCTAAGAATATTCGGTCCTACATGAAGGATCGAGCCTGCGAATTATACGACTTCCTCTGCGAGTTTGCTATGTCGGAGAATATCCCGATGATATCTGGGGAGGGTGGAATGACCGTGGTAGGTTGGTCTTTGGGAGGGAATTGGATCACCGCTCTTCTAGCGTATTTGGAGATATTTGAAGGGGTTGAAATGACGTTAAGGTCGTATCTTAACAAGCTCATTCTTTTAGGTATGCAGATATTCCATTCGGCTCCCACGTCAGGCCTTTCCGATGTTCTCGCTTGAACTCCTCTTCTTTCCATGCTCGCACCAGACCCGCCCTACAGTGTCTTAGGATTCCCGCACCATGAAGATCTACGCATGCCCATTGATGACGCCACCGTCACCGATGGAAAAGCGGTGATCGCATGGCTCACTGGCTTCTTCGACCATTCCATACCGCCTTCCTTTCCATCCACTCCAATACTCGATCCTGAGCTCAGACTTGGTCGCACCCCGGTGTCTATTCCTCCGCCCACGATCGCTACGATTTCTCCGGAAGAGATTCAGAACGTGATTTTCATACCGCCCGCTGCTCCCGGTGGTTCCGATGTTCTTCTATACGAAGCCGGGCAACGGCTTGGTTTATTTGAAGAGATGAGGAAGAAGGCACTTTATGCCACTGCGGAAGAGGATGTGACGGCAGAGCAGAAGGGATGGAGGGAGAGTGTGGAGGTCAAGGTCATATGGTGTGACCGTAGTATATGGGGTGTACCGTGGGGTATCTCCCAGTTATACAGGGAGGTTGAGGACGCGAAGGCAAAGGGAGAACTGAGTGTCGGTAGGGTGAATATTGTGAGGGTGACAGGGGCGAACCATTATGTGCGTAAATTTCGTTACTCTGAATATACCTTAGACACTGAGAATGACGTCCTGCTTTGTAGATTCATTGGGAGGAACCTGAGCGCGCGTTGCGTGCCCTTTTGGCTGGTAGTACTCAAGAGGCGTGATTGGCCCTGCGCTCATGTAAACACTAACCTTGTCTGGCGCATAACTATTTAAAGATCATCATGCTTGCGTAGGAGCCAGCGCAGATTAGCGTGTGGCGCTAACTTGTAGCTTAGCTTGTGCGCCACACTACGGCTGACTTAATGGTGCTTAGCGTGTATGGTTTGGCTGAGCTAGCTTGCGTCTAGCTTGACCTCTCTGTCGCCATCATCTGCTCTCTAGCTGGCCTCTTCTCATCGGTTAGGTCATATGGTTGCTCATCACCACCTGCGGCTTTATTACTGTATATTTCTGTTCTTCATCTTGACTGTTCAGATCTCCGTCACAGCGACGACGGCTTGCAGTACTGCCCGGCCAATCGCGTTCTATAACATGAAGTCTGTTTTCTAGTACTATCTAATTATCGCTCTTGACCCGTGAGAATAGCGAAGCTTGTCCCATTGTGGAGTACTTAATCGTGGTGAAGACTGATGCATATAACATCCTACCAGTCACGGATTCAATGTGAGCCAGCAAATGTACGCATGCACATTCTTCAATTGTCTCATTGTCTCTTGTGTTTAATTGATCCACTGATGACCCGCTGGTGGTATTGACTACCAGTGACATCTTTACTTAACGGTTTCTAGCGTGCGTTACTTGGCTAAGCTAGCTTGTGGCTGGCTTACGAGTCAGCGCAAATCAGCTTGTTCCTTAGCTTGCGCGCCGCACACGCTAGACTTAGTGGCTAACTAGCTTGTGTCGCTCGACTCATGCTAGCTTGCACTCGCTTAGCACGATATGTCCCAATCAATCCTGTATACAACGTGTAAACCGTCGTCTCCACCCGTCGGTGCGCTGGGAAAACATCGGTTGGTATGGCCTGGTGGCACTTCCAAGGTATTTATTGCTGCTCGGCTCGAGAACTTTCCCCTCGAGATATAATCGTTCTGCTCTTTTGTCTCAGCTTGTGGTCTCAGGTTATGTGACATCAACGCTGTAACTTACTCTACCGGCATGGCAAACCATCGAATATTAGTTCATCGTCGGTAAGAAGACTTATTTGTACTCCAATCCACTCCAAGATCGAATCTACTTTTCCTGTGTCTACGCTGACGATCAGACCCAGGAACGATATGACGATACAGTAGGAGACATGAGAACGAAATACAAACACCCGTTTCTTGGGCCACAAAGGCGAGGCGAGCATTTTTTTATCTACTCATCATAGTCTTGTTGAGCCGAGACGTACAAACGGTGACCGAGATTGATTCTCTGTACGACCAATGTAAGGACTAAGTGATATGATATAAGGATGTCAAAGTGACGGGTTGTTCACGGCACAGAGACGCTAGATATACAATATGCTTAAGAACTAAGTGGCAGCGTACACGCGATCGCACGCTAAATTGTCCAAGCTACACACGCTACGCACTTATTTCTGTTAGTTAGCGTGCAAGCTAGCTTGGACAATTTAGCTTGTCCGGCCAAAAGCTAACGCAAGCTAGCACTTGGCTGGTACAAGCTAGCGCTCCACGCTAAATTGTTAACCGTCCTTGCGTAGTTGAATCCCCACGCTGACAAGAAACGATCTATGCTAAGGCTCAAGAGGGCGGATTATGATATCCTGGTCACCAGCGTCACCCAACTAATGATGTACAATGACCGTACACTGTGGCAACACTGTAGAGAGCTCGAGCGCCGTGGACACTTGGTGGACACGTCCAAGGTTTGAGTAGTTACACGAATTGTGCATCATTAAGTACAGATGACCGAGATCAATGGGGAGAACAAATCGACGAGAACTGAAGAGGAAGGAACGAGTAAACTAAGGTCATCCGTGAACCATTTTTCTGCGTCAAGCAGCTGAGCATTCACCACAACGCCACATGCAGGGCAGCGTCGGGGAGCCTGAAACTCCGACCCAAAATTATGCACAGCCTTCAGGCTCCGGCAAGTTGCACGTCACAGAGCTCGCGGATCCTTCCTATCCTTTGTTCGAATTCTCAGCAGCTCCGCTGCTCGTTCTTCTTATCATCATTCAAGATACCTGTCCAATTCATCGGTAGCGACAAGCAGAATATCGCTAGACTCTGCTAGACTCTCGATCCGCGACCATGACTCAGACTCTGCGCCAAAGTTGTCAGTGAACTTGCAGTGAACACGAGTGTCTTCAAGGTTCACAGCGCCTCCATCATGTTTCATGCAGAGTATTCAATGTTGAGATGATACCATAGCTATAGCACGAAATTTCTAGCGTTCTGACATCTTCACATCTCATTCTTGTTAGGGCATATCTGTGGTGTTTCGATATCGTGTTTCGCCTCCGAGATTTGACGGAGACGCCAACTTCAATTGGACAACCGTGACGCTACAGACATGCCCTATCGTGGATGGTCTATCTCTTCGCCCCTCTACATGGTTCAAGGTTCTCGCCGAAAGTGTCACATTGCATCCACGCACCACAATTTAACTGCATGGAGTACGCAAACCAACGTGAGTGTTTACTCCAATGCCCCCACGCCTTCTCCTTCTTACTTGAATGGCGCTCGGAGTAGACATATTGTTTTTGCTTCCACTGATTCGACTAGCTCGGTCGAAGAGCGTGGCAACAAACGGTCACAAATCTACCACCCGATCCATCTGTATATCTCGTACCAGGATGCTGTGCAATCTTCTTCTCTGCAACGACGTATTCGGAGCTGGGACGAACTCTATCTGTTACTGGACGTGCGTTGCGGTCTTACATTCTTTCAACTGAGACTCTAATTATGATGCTACATCAGACTTAGCTATGAACGGGATTTATAGCCTTGGTACCTTCTCATGCACGATCGCCCACTTCTTTCCCCTCCTCTCCGGCCTTGTACTAGACCCGGCGCCCATTCCCACCATTTCCTTGCAGCCATTTTATTCAGCCCTATCTGAGAACTTCCACCATGTCCATACATAATTTCGCTGCAACGAAGGTAATTGGTCCCTTTTCAATAGAAGACACAGGAGCTCCGCCTCAGTGCAGCGAATACAAACTTGTCGTCATCGTCCACGGGCTCGCCTGGCCAAGTGGTGAGTACTGGAAAATCAGTCACCAATCTCACTGAGTCTGACCCTCAAGACTCATCGAACGTTATAAATACTAGGAATATTTACCCGCCTTCTTCCCTTCGCTCCTCAGCATGGCGCGCGCATTATCCTCGTCAATCGCCGCGACTATCCCGGATCGACACCTTTCAGTGACTCTGAACAGCAGCTTTTGTCCTCTTGTCTTCCAACTACGGCGGAGGCCGCTCAAAACATGCGGTCGTACATGAAGGATCGTTCCCGGGAGTTATACCACTTTCTCGTCGAGGTGGCCACCACAGAGGCTATTCCTAATGTTTCGGAGAAGAGCGGAATGATCGTCGTGGGCTGGTCTTTGGGATCGGCGTGGATTACTGCGTTACTAGCGCATCTCGAGGAGTTCGAAGGGGCTGGGATAATGCTCCAGTCCTATGCTCGAAAGTTCATTTGTCTAGGTGCGCACGCAAATTTCGGTTTATCATACCTTCCCCCCTCCCATTTTTTTACCATTTTACTAATATCGACCCATATGATATGTCTACACCAGACCCACCTTACGGAGCTGTGGGCTTTCCGCACTATTCAGATCTGCGTATGCCCTACGACACCTGAGAAGGTCACTGAAGTTCACTAACTCCTTGATATATCAAGGAAGGTGTAGTATACTTAGCCATTGAAACCAGAGGGTTCAGTAAAGTGACTCGTCTCAGTACTTTAGAGTACTGAGGCTTCTGGGGCACTATGGTATAGTACTGTGCTAGTAAAAGTGCGCAATGCTGGTTTGTGGGTATAGTACTTTTGCTCGTTGTAGTACTTTCTGCTGGTATAGTACTTTTCGCTTGTTTAGTACTTTCTGCCAGCCTAGTACTTTCTGTTGCCGCAGTATTTTCTGCTGGTGTAGTACTTTCCACCCTCGTAGTACTTTCTGTTGGCGTAAGTAGTACTTTTCATCGGTGTAGTACTTTCCGCCCTTGTAGTACTCTCTGCTGGCATTGTACTTTCCGCCGGTGTAGTACTTTCCGCCCTCGTAGTACTTTCTGTTGGCGTAGTACTTTCTGCCCTTGTAGTACTTTCTGCTGGCATCGTACTTTCCGCTGGTGTCGTACTTTCTGCCGGCATAGTACTTTCTGTCGACATAGTACTTTCTGTCGGCGTAGTACTTTCTGTCGACATAGTACTTTCTGCCAGCGTAGT